TGCGACGCGTTCCGATGAGATAACTAAAAGCGGAATTTCGTGGAATTTTGCGTCTCGAAAATTGGCAGCAGGGCGCTACGTCCCTCGCCCTGGCAACATTGGTCCATTGGGTAGACCTGCGCGATGTTTTCTCGCCCGGGCTCCCAGCCGTTCTTTGTGTATTTTTTATTCTCGGCGTGCCCTTTTTTCCAGGTGCGCCGATTTTGTGTCATGGGCCAGAAACGATACCCGGGGGGAGCGCGTAAGCGCCAACTCGCACCAAGATAAAGCTTCGCGGGCTCTCAGGGCAATCATGCGGAAAACGCCCGGGCGGTTTCCACTTCTAAAAGCCCTCTAATTTTTCCGGTTTTATCGAAAAAGCCTCAACCCGATTTGCCCACGCAAGGATCAAGCGGAAGGATGGAGTCGGAGAAGCAACCCAAGCTGAAAGCGAAAGAGACGACGCAAAGGGAGCAGCACCCATAGAGGACAAGGCAAGCCCAAGAAAGGTAGGCGGTGGAGGAGAGGATGGGGCAGAACGAGGCAACACCACGATGGAACTCGCATCGGAATGTTGCAAACATTTTCCGCGACATTCCGATGCGACCATGGAGGTGGCGCTACTTCGCGGTCGCGCGGAGCGACCTTCTAAAATCTATCCTTTAATCCTGGCCTCTAAAATTGTCCTCTAAAAGTGGCCTCTAAAATGCGTCTCTAAAACACTCCTCTAAAATGCGTCTCTAAAACGCGCCTCTAAAACGCGTCTCTAAAACGCGTCTCTAATTTGCCCTTTTAAAGAGCCTTCTAGAATCCCCTCTAATTTTCCCTCTAAAGTGCGCCTCTAATCTGTCCTCTAAAATTCCTCTAATTCTTTCGCCCGCCCGACCATTTTCGGACTTCTAAAAGTCCTCTAAAGTGGCCGGGTAGGCGAAATCCCATTGAAAATCGCCTGTTTGGCGATTTTAGAAGATGGAATAGAAGAATCCGGGACACCAAAACCGGAAGCCGAACCGGAAGATTCTTCCGGTTCCGGCTCACGGGAAGAACATGAAAGACCACACACTCAAGACATTTGTTTGTGAGATGGAAATGATGTTCATGTTCGAAAACGAGAACATCATCTTCCGCTCAGCGACAAACAAACACTTCTTTCTTCGGGATGCGAGGAGGCGGCGTGCGCGGAACACGTGCCGCTTCGCATCTGTGTGGTGCAGGCTGCTTCCCCATCTATGACCCAAGCGCCTTGCCACCTATGCAACCCCAAAGCTACGCCAATCCACGAAATAACAAACAAGATACTTTTCAACCTGGTGAAGCCCTTTGAAGCGGAAACCAGCCCAAATTTTTAAATTTTAAATCACATCGCAGAGCGCCGGGGCGCAAGGAAACACCGACCAACCGCCCGGCCTCCGAAGCAAAATAGCCCGGGGATCTTGGGCAGGGCGCGACGGGGCGCCCTGCCACTCGTCTGGAACNGCAAGGAAACACCGACCAACCGCCCGGCCTCCGAAGCAAAATAGCCCGGGGATCTTGGGCAGGGCGCGACGGGGCGCCCTGCCACTCGTCTGGAACTCAGCCGGAGGGCCCGGGGCGGTTGGGCCTGCTAAATTCGCGCTATTTTTTTTCTTATTTTTCCAAAGTGCCAAGCCAGAAACCTCCCAAAGGAACGACGCTAGGGCGGCAACAGAGGCGGCCCGGCGGGGGCGTGGCGGGGCGCCGGGTTTCGGTATTGGGTGCGCAACACAAGGAACGACACACCCCGCGGCCCGAGCCAGATAACCCACTGCCGCGGCCCCAAAATCAAAGGAGCCGGCTCACCCCTTTTTCATTAAGGAGCCACGCCCCCGATGCAAAACCTCAGCCGGCAATCTTTCGATCACTGCAGACAACACGACCGCGAGGTCCCGAATATGCGGCAAATTTTAGAACCTGCTAAAATTCCTGCTATTTTTGCTGCTAAATAGGCTGCTATTTTGGGGGTGCTAAATATCCTGCTAAGAAACCTGCTAAATTTGGGTGCTAAAAATCCCTGCTAAAAATCCTGCCAAATTTGGGTGCTAAAAATGCCTGCTAAAAACCCTGCTAAATTCCTGCTGGAAAAGGGCGGCTGCGCGGTCCGTGAAGGGCCCGGAACCTTCTCCAAAACTGCCGAAAACGCAAAATCCTTCCCAAAACGCCTGCGGTCCGGATTTAGCGGGCATTTTAGCAATTCGCGAAGGATGCGACAATGGTTGTGCCCGGACCTTTTGCACGACTCTGGTCGCGCGCCTTCTGCTAACCAAAGGGCCGAAACATCCCCGGCGCCCGGACCCAACAAATACCCAGGTCAGAGCAGCCTCCTACCGACATCGGGAACCCATCGGACCCGAGCCGGGAAAGACACGAGGGGCCGCGCTCGCTAGGCCGCCCGCCGGCGTGGTGCTTGCCAAGCCCGGGCGCCCCGGTGGCCCACAAAGGAAAACGGGCAACGCAAGGGCTTCGCGGCTGCGGAAAATCAGCGAAGCCCGAAAACCAACGCGGCCCCGCGCGAAGCGTCTCAATGGTGGAGGGGAGGCGGCCCGAGAGAGCGCGAAATATTACGCGGGCCCACTGCGCACAGCTGCCGGGGCGGAGCAGGCAACCCACCACCACCAATGCCAAAACGGGGCGGGCCGGCCTGGAAAAGGCGACGCCCTTAATCACGCGCCGGCCTCCGGACTTTTTCAAAATCGCGCAAAATTTAGCAATTTTTTAGCGCCCAAAATGGCCCCGGGGCCCTCCGACTGATGGAACGAGAATCACCGCGGCAAGACGGAGAGGGCGCCCGGAATTTTTGAAATCCCGGAAATTTTAGCGAGCTTTTAGAAGCAAAATCCGCCCGGGGTGTCTCCGCATGAGGGCAATAACAGTCGGAAGCCATGCAGCGCCTCTCCTCCAATATTACCATATGCGTGGGGTCCGACAAGGGCCACAAATTCTGCGCCAATGGCCGGCGAATACGCCAGAAGGACCACACAGAAGTTTTCTTTTTGCCCTTTCGGATTCCTTCCTTGGCGAGGCCCCTGGCTACGTTCGCGGGACCCCCTGCCTTCCAAATGCAACTCTTTGGAATTTGCTTGGAATTTGCTGGCTTTTTCCTTGGAGTTTGCTGGTTTTTTTTTGGAATTCGAAGCACTTTTTTTGGATTTTGTCTGGAATTTTTTTGGAATTTCGCTAAGAGAATTCGGGAATTTCGTCATAGCGTCGTGGCTGGCAAATTCCAGATAAATTCCAAATGAATTCCAGACAAATTTCCTACACAAGGAAAACAAAAAGAAAACAAATTTCTGGCAAATATCAAACATGAGGATCCAGAGGACTAACACGACCTCCGACCTAGGTCGCGACCTAGGTCGCGACCCACCCGGAATCAACCACAAGACAACACAACTCTTCCAAAGTCCGGGGCACAAATATCCGATACATATGGCACTACACCCAAGCGGCACATTGCACTACCGGGCGCCAAAATAGGGGCAACAGGCGAAAAAGCTACAGCTTTGCCCTGCGTGGGCAGTTCGGGTCCAGGGCTGCGAATAATTGGCGCAAGATATAGGCTTCATGTTATCGGGATTCGACTACCCTCAAGAGCACGACGCTGCTGTCTGTTTCCCCACGCTTGCTATTATGTGCCCCCCATATTTGGACAGAACGAGACGCGGGTAGTCTACCCCGATAACCTGCGCAAGAGAACACGCCGGCTGCTGTCCCTGCGGAAAAATCTTTCACACAGCGACCGCACGGCTGTTTGCTACGCTCCGGGTCTGGCGCTGAGAAATTTTTTTCTCCGAGAAATTCCACGAAATTCCACCCAAATTCCCTCATCGGATGCGCCAGAGCGTAAAATTGATCAACAGAAAATTATCATGATTTTTGGAAACAAAGAATTGAAACCTGGAATTCTCAAGATTCTGATGATTTTCGGGATTATGGATGGAATATGGCATATGGATCAAAAGATGAGAAACGAAAAACTCACATGAGAATCCAAGAATAATTCGAGGATGAAATAACGCAGATGATAATAATTCTCTGCTCGTTTTCCTGTGTCATCTACAATTTCAACTACACAGGAGAGCAACTGAGGCGATTTGTCGTGTGTTTGACACGACAACTACATCATTCATCGCCGGCTTCGAGGCCGCGCCATTTTTTTACAAAAAATCTTTGTGGTGTGCCACTGTTTCTATTGTCTCTTTGCTTCTTCAATCACAATTGCGCAGAGCAAAATCATTACGCAAAACAGCGTGCGCGTGATTCGCCATTCCGCAATGGAAAAAAACACATCAAAATGAAATGAAATCGCAACGCCTGGCGCAACAGACTTCTTTCAGACCTAGAATTTGAATTGCCGATCGTGATTCTACTTGTAAGTGGGATCTATTACGATTTACGCATGGATCACGCGCTTCTCGTCGACATCAACCCATAAAACATATGAGGGACAAGGAGTTCATCGAAGATATTTTACAGCTTTGGTTTGGCTAGTGAAAATCTGAAACAATTTGTTCCTCACTTGTTTGTGGCGGCCCGACATGAGGCAGTGCCACGCGTTTTTTGTACAACTCCCAGGATATCGATACGAATCTCTATCATCAAGCAGTGGAGGGGGCTTAGGTTTTTGATTGTGTCGGAGCAGCCCACGGCGGGCGTGGGCGAGCTGGGCCTGGAGCTTGTCTTGTTGCAACCAGCACGTCAAGGGTCCTCGCGTTGCTCTGCTCGGTGGAGCTTCGCTTCGTACGCCGCTGCTTCTCTTCGAAGCGCCAGGTGCACATCAAGCGATCCCAGACTGGGGCCGCCGAGTATCGACTGCGCCATTTTGCGATGCAACTGAAAATTGTGCAAGAAGAAGTCCCGCTCGTTGTGCCTATCTTCCTCGTTTTTGTTTGCGGGGCGTTTTGCTTGCTCCTTCCATTCCCGCAACTCCGAAGTCTCTCCTTCCTCGAAGTCAGCTCCGTTCCACGCGGCAAGCTTCCACCCCAAGACACTTGCACCGACGAACACTGACGCGGCATCGCGCAAATATCGCTTTTTTGCTTCGATTTTATCCTTTGCATCAGGTTCCAGCCGTAATGTCCGCAGCGCGAATGCGCCGCCGCGTGCGCTCTCCAGGAGCTGATGAGGAAGCATGGCCAACTTATTTTCGACTGCGTCTTCCAACCGCCTCCGTACATCCTCGGTCTCCGCCTGCTCGGTGTAGGCCAGATTTGTGTCCCAAGCATGGTAGAGGCCCGCGCGGCCCTCCGACTCGTATTTCAGAGCCTGGGTTACATTATCAACACGCCGCCGCAGCTTCAGGCTGCCCACCTCTTCCTCTGCTTCGTGTCTCTTTTCTTCTTGTTCTTCTCGGACGGTGAAGAGACCACTATCGTTCCTGAATACAATAGCAGCGCCGGTGGCACTCGATTCCATCCACTTGGTGAAGCCGACGTCCAACTCCACCAATTTTCTTTTCCAATCTTTCAGAATACCCATCGCGAGTTTTTGGGCCGGGTCTTTTTCCATCGTCTCGACAAGGTTCGGGGCTGGTAAGTGCTGGAAGTTCGGGTTGGTTGCATATTCTTTGTCCTTGTTTCTGCGCTGCTCCATAGCACCAAACACCCGAGCCCCAAACCACTTTTCGCTCCCACGATACGCCGCCCGCAAGCCCTTGTATGCGTAGAAAAAGCACAACACTTTGGATTCGTCTTCCTGCTGTGCCTCGTCACGACCCCCGGAAAGCTCGGCTTTATCATTTGCCGCAGCAGCAGCCGCACGGAGGTCCTCCGGGCGGTCCTCTAACAGATCCTCCAAGTTCGGAGTCGTAAAATTGAGGAAGGCGGCTTCGTCGTCGCGGAAAAACCGCGCGCAACCAAGCGTGGCGAGCCGCGTCTGCATGTGCTCCTTGCGCAAGACCGGATCGCAAGTGGTCTCAGTGCCTCGTAGAAGTAGATCTTTCGTGGCTTTCGTGCCACAGAGTCGCTCGAGATAGATCTTCAGCTCTTCCACATTGGCCTTTTTATGCTGCCTTACCCTCTTCTCCATCTCGACGCTTTCCCGGGAGCGACCTTGCAGCACCGCCTGCTGTGGCAAATCTTCGTAAATGATCTTGTTCCTTTTTTCCTTTGTGCGCGCGCTTTTTAGGGCGAGGATTGGATCAATGTTCTCTATTGCTTTCGCGCTCCGCCTTTTGTACTCCAACAAGTATTTCATTCTCTCTCTGTGACCCCGCTCTTTTTGCTCCTCTTCCTGTCTTGCGTATTGGGCCACCTTCTCCTCAATTTGATATCGAAATGAAAAATTATCTCCCCCACCATTTAAGAGATTCTCAATAAGCAATAGCAACTTCATCTGCCTCTGTTGCTGGGTTTGACTTTGAATACAGAAAGCAAGCTGGTGACATGTCAGTAAACAAGAGACACTGGTGGTGGCCCACATGCACATTGACAAGAAATTGCCGGTACAACCAGGCCGCAAGTGTGCCTTTCTCCTTTGCCACCTCGTTGTAGCAATATCGAGAGCCAGTTTGTAGTACTCACAAATCTTGCTTGAGAAGTCTCGTCCTAGTTACATCCTTTTGCAGCACGTGGGGAGGTGAGGGGATAATTTTTCCTCGCGATATCAGACGGATTCTCTTCTCTTCGACCTGTTCATGATCATGCAGTAAACGTTCCACTTCGGCCATATCCTTCTCCTCCTGCTCGTGCTGCTGTTTCGTACTCGCGGCGGCCTGCCCTGCTTTCGCGCGTCTCTTCTCGGCCTCCACCTGCTTCGCCGCCTCCCGGATTTCGGTTGCCGTCGCGTCCCGGTCCACACCTGCATCTTCCTCGTAGTCGTCCTCGGTGACACAGCCCCCCGCTACGCTCGGTGCATCTGCAGCCTCCACGCTGCCAGCGGCCCTCTCCGCGAGCTCCTCGAAGCGAGACGCTTGGACGAGTCCGCGAAAGTGATCTTCGACCGGGGCGATCACCTTCTCTTTGGCGTCCCTCACCTTCTCTATTAACCCAGTATCTCTCCATTGTTTGTCGGCAAACGCGTGCAGCGGATTCTGGCTGTTGGGGTACAACACCGCCGCACACTTTCCCTTCTCGAACGCCTGCCGGGCGGCGAGACAGCGCGCCGCGGACTTCACGACGTGGTACTCGGACTCGCGCCCGAGCTCCCGCCACAGCACCGCAAAGCCGTGGTAGGCGGAGATCGATGACGGCCGTGCCGTCAGATTGAACTTGTCGAGTGCGACTTTTTTCATGGTTGTGGTTGCATCGTTAGAAAAAGCCCCTTCCTTGTCAAAAACATTCTCCGGGAGGCGATCGCAACTGGCCTTGATCTCCCTTGCCTTCCAGCGCACGGAATCCTTTCCACCTTGTAGTGCGGGAGGCTGCTGGTGCGGTTCCGGGTCCTGTCGTTGATCATATGCACCACCAGCTGAACGTGAACCTTCGCCGGCCGCGGGAGAGTTGTTCCCGCCGGTACGACCTTTGTTCTGCGGTCTGCCTTTCCTTCCCCGAGAACCGGAGCGCTTGTTTACGGCGGCCGCCCCAGCCGGAGATTCTTCCTTTTTGACCATACCACTGTTTCTAACCATCGCGTCCAACGAGGTGCCACTGCGATGGCACTCAACCTGCACCTGCCCTGCTCGCCACAAACACTCCACATACGTTCTTGTACTATCCACCGTGGTAGTGCCATCCAGTTTCTTTTTCATCTGTGGACCACGAGCCGATGATCTCGAACTCGAAGCAGGCGCGGAAATCTGCAAATGTACGGCTGTAACAAAGCTGCACTCAAATTCGAAGAAAACACGAGGACCGGCACAAGCAGCGAGGAGAAAAGAGAGCAGCGACATTCTGATATTCTTCTTGCTCTGCCCCCGGCGCGCGGCCAAGCAATTCGTCGAAGCGAAAGACGCCATTCTTCGTATTGGTGTTCCTGACCTTCCTCTCCTAGTAATGGAAGTGTTAAGTAATGGCTCCGCTCCTCGACGATATTATCAGATAAAAATATCGGCACGTCGTCGGAGGACAGGAACAAGAAGTTGCAAAAAATAAAAAATGAAACGCGAAAATTAAAATGATTCAGGTGGTGCAGACGTGTACGTAATCAAAATTAGGGTTTGTGCATGCTTACAAATAGAATGCAAGAAAGTCATGAGCAGATGAAATCAATTTATGTTCTACATGAAAATCAGGTGGTGCTGCAATATCATGCGCTTCGGAGCAGCGCTTTTTTCTTGTCTATGACTATGCACCACTGATGAAAATGCTTTGCGCAGCTTTAATGTCTTTGTCTATTGTTTTCTTGCTGTACTAAGGTGGACAAGAACTTGAATTCGATTTATTTTTATTTACGACCGAATCCGAAACCTTCCGAAGAGCCCGAAATTATCTTGGTCATCAATTCCACTGCGTGCAATGCCAAACTGTGGATCTTGATCTTCATGTTCATCTCTCATTCCAGCAGGCCAGAGCGATCCTTTTGAAAAATTCTTGTCGTCAGCAGGTTTTCCACCGTGTTCACATACAAACTTGGATCTTCAGCTTCATGATCAAGAAACCAATTGACTTAATCAATCGAGGAGGACGACACGGCCTCGTTCCTTTATAGATACCGTTCTTTTGTCTATCATGCATTGTACTTTCATCAAACGGAATACAATATTTCATCGTGTGTGATGTTGCAGCACCAGTGCGAAGATTGCTTTTATAAGTACGCGTTCTTTCAATAACTTATGAACATGGAAAGGATCGTATAACACTGGATCGCGTGGTTGGATATTTGGAACAGCAAGGACCTGCAGTGCGGCTAGCAGAAAGATTCGCGCCGGATGTTTTCCCAAAAGCCTGTCGAAAGGTCCAGAGAGTCATGCTTTGTTTCGGTTCAGATAATTCAAAACTCGTTTTTTCCTCTTCATCTTCGCCGAGGAAAAAACACACTCTTCATCTTCGCCGAGGAAAAAACACACCAGAAAAAGCAAACATATTTCTTTGTTTTTGAAGTTAAAGGGAGGGCACCACCAGGCTCGACCCGCCTTTCATCTTCGCAATGTTGTTCCCAGCCGCATCCCTCGTGGTGCAGGCCATTCTCATTCACATTGCAGCCATTCTTGGTCTTGGACTTGGTCTTGCGCTTGCAGTTGTACAGAGCGCATCATCTTCATCATCGTGGTTATCATCAAACTGCATTGCTGGGGCAGGGGCGTGCCATGGCTTGGGTCCGGGTTCGAGTTCCAAAAAGCAAAACCTCTTTACAACAAAATAGAGGAATGTTGGCGAAAAAAAAAACCCTCAAAAATTGTAGCCGAGAGAAAGGTGTGCGTGTAGTTTACGTTTAGATGAAGTTCTTTCTGCTTTTTAATTCTATCCGGCGAAATACAGGGAGGACAGCCTCCAATAGTTGTTGTCCTCTTCCTCATCTTCTTTTCGCACCTGTTCTTCCAAACTTACAGCTGCAACACACCTTTGTAGTTGCATAACTACTAAAAGTAAATAAAAATTTATACTACATTTCCATCCAAATTAAAGTCATCCAATAGCTTTGGTTACCTTGCCCCTACTCTGGCGAGAAGAAAAATACAGCTCGGAGCCGCTGAGCCGCGTCTTCGTTCCTCGTCCGCGAGATAAATAAAGCAAGAAGTACTACTTGTCAGAATAAATCACCGGCTCTATAATCAGCATACTAGTTGTCAGAATAAATCAGAGAAGCAAGAAGAAGTACTAGGTGTCAGGCCACGTGTTAAGCCACTAGTTCTCCTTCAGAATGGCACAGTAGCTCTCCTGCGGAACAAGTGGGCTGCGCTAGAGTTACGGTGATGTTGGTCGTGCACGTGGTTTGGGTTATTTCAGCTGCGATAAATAACTCCCACCTCATGCCGAAAATACTGTTAACTCCCCCTGAAAAATACTGTTTGAAACAATCCGCTCCTGCCACGCTCCTTCCGCAACCGCTGGCGAGGACTGCAGCGTCGGGTCAGTTTTCTTTTGCGCGATGAGCACTTGCGGAAGCAGCTCCCCGGGACTAAGTTTATCTTTACGCAGGTTGGAAACGCCGGTCGTGATACTCCCCCGAATATAAACACCCTTGTCGACATGCGGCTTCACGATTTCCCGGATCGCTGCGCTTTGGCGCGCAACCAGTTCGCGGAAGGGCCGCAAAGCCTGCAGTAGTTGACGGAGTAGATGGGAATGCTTGATTGCGTTGTTAAATTTTGGATTCGGGACGAGAAAATTCTTGTTCCAAATCCAAAATTTACTATAGATGTTGAAGAACAAGAATAGTTTTAGGGGCCCGTTCTTACACGCCGGACGTCATATAGCGATGCTCGCAAGAAAAGGCAAAGCTGCCAAAAATCTATATTTTTTCTCATCTACCGACTGGGAACTTCAGAAAAGACATACATTACAAACTGGAACTGCAGCCAAATGAAAGTGGATTATACCTGCTCATTTTCCATTTGGAGTTTCTCCGTTTGCTGTTTTTCCAAAGACTCTTTCTGGTGACTCCAAGACATACCCTCCCGCAGATCATTCAGCGCATCCATGGCCCCCTTGTGAGCTTGAGCCAGGACGAGGTGGCCCCCGGGCTTGAGCAGCTTCATCACAGCTTCCAACATTTTTCGGAAGCATTCCGAATCTTGGTCCGCGAGTTGCGGCACATGGCGGCAGAAGTCAATGTTTGCGGGAGCAAAACCGCACATGTATGAGCATTTCCCCGAACCTTTACAGGCACCGAAGCCATCTGACAGGCAGGAACAACCTATGTTGCGTAGGTAGACCAGATCAAACGTAGACTCCTTTGAGGTTGCAAACTTCTCCCATGCAGACTGGTTTGCGTTGTCGAGAAGGATCGTTCTAGTGTTAGGTGCGGCGTCGAGCAATCGGGGGTCTGCTTGCAGTTTGTGAGTGGTCCGCACGACCTCCAGGCTACCTTTCTTCAGTTGATGACCCTGCTCAGCCGTGAAAAGCGGTACCTCCGTTATGCGCCCCCCTTCCTGGGACGCCCGTTCCCACGTGTTGCGGACCCACCTCCACAGCCCCGACGCGGCCGGCGTTTGGAATGGCAGGCGCTCCTGATCGTGAGCGTAGGAAACTTCCAGGGCCCGAAACGGGCCATGATCGTGGCTCATCTTCACAATGTGGTCATACAGAGGCATCAGCAAGCCGAGGTCCCATTCTTGATCGTGAAATTGGTCGGTAACTCGGGCCAAAGAATCAAATGCTTTGCCGTGATCGGCGTGAAGAATCCCGGGTCCTTTCACCCACTGCGCAAAATTCTCTGTACTTTTTTTCAGGTGACCGAGAAAGCTTGTCGCGAGACGCGAGACAAGATCGGGTTGTGGCCCTTCTCCGCGTTCTCCCAGTGCGGCTTGTCTCGTCCCCGTGGTACCAGTCGAGCGCACGCGGGATGGACTTGGACGGCGGGACGAGGGACGAGCTTTACGAGAAGACGACGACGAAGTAGAGCGGGATGAGGCCCCCACAGACCCAGATGTAGGCCCCGCAGCGGCAGCAACATCAATCGAAAGTAAACCGACTAAGAATGCCGCGACGTAACCTCCAGTCAGACTACACGACCCGAGTAGGAGCGCCGACTTTTTTTTCTTCATGATGTGGGGTTTTTCGCAGGACGAGCTACGCATCATTTTTGCTGGTGGTTCTTGTCGTGCTGGCAAAGATTAATATATGCAGACGTACTTTTTATCAGCCTGTTCAGCTACAACCAGAAATACTACTGCTGTGTAAATTTTTTTTGGCTTTGCTCCTGAGGTACAGGCAATTCAAATTTCGTACAGAACTACTTGGAGGCTCACACTAGATCAAAATGTAAATGATTTGTCTTGATTGTCGAAAACGCACACTCGCGAGATTTTATCCTTGTTGAAAGAATCAAAATACAGAGGCAGAATCTACTTTGAAGAAGAATGACTTTTTTATTTTTAGGTCGAAGAATGCTGGAAATAGTTGTATATAGCGTACAAGCGCACTCGCTTCTAGCCTGCTGAGTTAGAAGCTCAATCAATTCTCGTCAATCTTGTAGGTACAGTTTGCGATTTATACACCCAGAAACAAATCTGAAAATCGGTCCAGTTTGCGATTTAGATTTTCAACAACATACGACTGAGCAAGCTCGACGTGGAAGGTGCTTGCGCTGGATGCTTTTATTTTTTGATGCTACCCTCCCAGACAAAAGCAAGTCGCAGCTCCTGAAGGCTTGACTTGTTGCTGTTCCCCTCCGCAATGAGTTCGATTCGTTTACGACCGAAACCGACCAAAGGGATCGTTGTCTCTTCCATTTCATCGGGCGAGGCCAAACTGTGGATCATTTTGATCTTCGTCTTTCATTTCAGCAGGCCAGAGGCAGAGCGATGATCCTTTGGAAATCTTGTCGTCAGGTTCTTATTTTCCACTGGTTTATTCACATACCAATTTGGATCTTCATCATCAACAGCTTCAGGATCAGGAAAGAACCGATCGACTTATTAACATCGAGGAGGATTTTGGTTTTTCCTTTTTTCAGGAGGAAGTAGCGCCGACTTTGATGAATAGTTAGTAGCCGCACTTCTAGTTCATCTGTCTCTCAGGTAGCCGCACTTGTTCCAGTTCATCTATCTGACAGGACGAAGTTGATGCGAAGATCTTTCGAATATTATCTTTCAACAGCGCTACAACGCTAACCAAAACTCCTCGACGCGACTTTTCCTTTACGCTTTCAAATGGAGACCAGGACGTCCTCGAACAACTCACGACTGCTTCAATTTTCGAGACGTTCCTACCGTGCTATCCATAGCCACACACCCGTCACGCCCTTTGGCGTGATGGGGAAGAGAGCGAGGGCCGAAAGGTCCCTCACCGTAGAGACAGCCAGACAGGGTGCCTCTACGCCCCCTCCACACGCCGCAGCGCCGGCGGCCCGAAGAACCCAGGGAAGCATGCTGACATGATGAATTCGGGCAACAGGGCTGAGGGACCCAAGAGCCCTCGACCAGCTCCACACGACCAGCAGCGGCGTGCCGAACAATATGTAGACAACACTGGAAACTTTCCCGGGCCTTTTCTCATATCTTACCGCGTAGTAGTGCAGCACACATTCAAGCTTCCCAAGCGCTATCCACCACCGAAAGTTTGTCGCAAGGCCAAACAGTCCGAGGCCTGGAGCACCCCCAGCGAGTATGGGAAACGAAAACGAGACCCCATCAGGCAACCCCAGCTACTTCACTCACGAAAGAAACGACCCGCGCAACCATAAAGGACTCACAAACCGCCCAGCACCATCCTGACCCGGCCCGAGCGTGGGCACAGTTTGTTACATTCGGGCTAGTAGCGCTATACACGCGCCCCGGACCTGCCTTGAATCTGAACCCCGCTACCCCGACACGCAGCGCACAGTGAACCACCAGCGGGGCCAGAAGCCTCAGAGAGTAACACCCCATAACCAGCAGCCCCGAAAGCCGATGCCCTTGCAACTGTACTAACCTAAGCACACGCCATATGTGAACTGTTATGGGTGGCAACACAACTCCGGTCCTGCCGGCCCCATCCCGTACGATAGATGAGCAAGTGGGGCCAGCAACCCTCACCCCACAAGTGGCCAGGAAAGACGCTCCCCCTGAGCACAGTGAAAACGCGCACCAAAGTCTGCCAAATGCAACCAGATAATCGCCTACTTCCATCACGAGCACAACAATGGCTCTGGCACCGCCCCCTCGGCCTGGGACATAAAAGCAATCCCGTGCCCCAGCAGGAAGCTAACTATAATCAGGTAGACCAGCCTGATACCGGCAGCACAGCGCAACTACCCCGAAAAGCCTGGCAAGCATGCCTAAACACGCCCAGCATTCGCAACCCGAACCCGACCAAACGATGCTTCCCATCTCTTCGGCCGTCTACATTGCGGCTTTTTCACCAGAGGTTACGCAAGGACAGGAAAGAAAGCGCTTTCAAATGGAGACCAGGACGTCTTCGAACAACTCACAACTGACAAACTCTGATGTGAGAGGAGCCTCCACTGGGAATCGGGGAACTCATTTTGGGCAACGATTTTGATAAGTTTTTTATGACCGCCACGGGGCAGGCAGCGACCTCGCCAGGCGAGTGATCGCGTTTTTCTTTTTATATCATTTTACTTCGAGGTATGTAGTGGGGGTATGTGAGGCGGTTTTGTGCCGCGGGGCCTGTTTGCATTTTGACTGATGAACTTTTTGGCACACTTTGACCGCGCAGGCGGGGAGAGTGGAAACTGTGACTGTACTGAGCCGCAGGGCGTTTCTGCAGAGAAAAACTTTATTTAAGATGACGGCAATCGACTTGATTTCTTCGGACTAGTGGCATCAGGCCAAAAAAAAAATTTTTACTTGAAACTTGAACCGATTTGCTTTGGGTCGAGTTTAAGGTCTTCCCGGGACCAAAACAACATTCGACCGGATGGAAGAGAGGCATCTCTTTATAAAAATCCGCTTTGTGTTCCTGCCTTGGCTACCCGGGCCGCTTCGCTAGGCCCGTGTCGCCTCCTTGTCACACAAACCATAACTTCAAATGGAGACCAGGACGTCCTCGAACAACTCACGACTGCTTCCATATTTCATCGTATCACGCGTTGATGCCGCACAACCAGCACCAAAACTGCTTTAATCTTAGTTAGTAGCATTCTTTCAATACGTGTTACTGTTTATGTTTCTTATGAATTTTGAGACGATATAAAACTGGATCGCACGTAGTCACCAGGCGAGTTTGTGGTGGTCAGCTAGGCGTGTATTTGGTCCCCTTGCCCTTCATCACAGCGATACAACTTCTGCAGTAGACCGTCAAACAAGAAGATGTCGCGCAGGTCGTGATAGTTTGACATCAAAAATCTTACAGCATAGCTTTTTACGTAGATCACTGAGTGATCAAGTTGCAGCACTTGTGGACGCGCATGGAGCCCCCGCACTATGTATTGAGCGCAAGTCTATCTACATCCAAGAAAAAAACTGTGTAAGTGTAACTTTTTTGGAGGAACAGCATCACAGATTTGTTTTGCATGACAGCAGAAACCTGTAATGCGCAGCTAGTACGTGAAAACGCCCTGTAATGGACCCTACGATGCATGCCAAGCATGACAGACGCAATCACTTTGCATGTTGCGCATCACAAATTTACACTAATAACGTTTTGTTCTTGGATAATCTATCATATGTTTATCTTCGACCCGCCTGTCATCTTCGCAATGTTCGTCCCAGCCGCGTCCCCGTTTTCGTCGCATTTGTACTTTCTCTTCCAAGTGTCCACGAAAGTTCTGCGGGCCCCGGGCTGCAGGTGCCTCTGCAGCAGTTTCGGGAACACATCGGTGATAAACCCGTTCGCAGCGGAAAACAACGGGGGTCCCCCGTCCTCCTTGTGTTGGCGCGGCACCACGCGCTTGGCGAAGATGAGCAGGATGGACCGGAAGGCCTCTGCGTAACTGAGGTCGTTCTCCTCTGCGATAGTAGCAGCAGCAGCTGTAGGAGATGAAGCACTGTCGGTGGCGGTCGTGGATGAGGGTAGTTTTATTTTCGAAATGCTATTCCTGTAGTTTTCCGGCAGTTGCAGCTGGGTCGCCTCATCGAAACCTCGCCACTTTGGCATATTCTTTCGCAGCGTCGCGTCCTTCTGAGCTTTCTTGTTCTTCATCGCGTTGAAGAACATGTAGCTGATCACGCGGGAGTGCCCTTCGGCGGTCTCAATGTACGAGGCGCCGGCCTTTACTTGTTTGTCCTGTGCAATTTTTTGGGTCGGGGATTTATTGTCTTTCCGATGTTGTGACGTTGTGGGAAAGCGAAAGAAAAGCAAGAACCATGAAGATGATACATCCTCTACTTGTTCATCGCTCATCTGATTAGGTAGCTCAACTTCTGTTGTTTAGCAGACTAGCGACTTACATAAATTATCTATATTTTTAGAATGGGACCGGGATTCAAATATCATACATAGTACCTTTTCCGACACAATTTGGCTGAGAGAGCGAAAATCCCCATACGACGCTTTGTAGAAATGCATGCCATGCCGGGTGTCGAAGCCTAGCTCTTCACTGTTCGGAAAGGAATTCTCCGCAGCGGCTTGCTTCAGGCTCCAGGTTGAGGTCCATTTCACGATTCGCCCGTTGGCGTCCTTCTCCGGCATCTTGCCCAAAGCTTGCGACGGGGTCACCGTGATGCAGCATTTTCCGGTGGCCTTCAGCACGTTCTTGGTCGACGCGATGAACTTGGGCAGCAGCTTATCATTTGTAAAAACGTCCCCACTCCAGAGTTGTCATGCAAAGACGCATGCTCAAAATGTTTCTCATGCGGAGTCCTATGAGAAACAATTTCTCTTCGTGTTTTGGAATTTGTTATGCTAGAATCATCATGCTATGCTAGATCTGTGATGCTGACGAACTACCTAAACAGGAGCACAGTACGAGGCCGAACTTGTCATGCGCAACGGCCTAAGCTTGTAGATTTGCCTTGCAGATTTACCATCTTGACTATGGGGTGAGGACGTTTTTACTCAGGATACAAAGCGAACAGCCACTTCGTCGCGGAATTGTTCATATCTTTGGCCTTCTTCACGTCGTCCCTCGTGATGGTCGGGAAAGGATTATTCCAAATCACGTAGTCATAGATGTTCTGTGCCTCTTCCGGGAGGTTCATCATGGAATGAAACACTTTCCGCTTTTCTTTTTCGATTTCTTCCCGCCGCTTCTCCTCTCTTTCGTCTGCGTCCACGCTTATCGAACGGAAAATAAATTCCCCCTCCCCATATCAAAACGGAAATCTGCGATGCGGGATTTGTATACACAAATCAGATCTGTCTTGCAGTAGAGGACTGCACGCAGATCGCAAACCTAGACGGGGGCCTTCTGGTCGTGTAGGCGTTTAGCATGGCAGACGTCTGCCCTGTAGGCCTTACAGCATGAGAAACCGCCTGCATGGCGCGGCGCCCTCTCTCAATTTGCCTTCCTGCAAGACAGGCAGGATTTGTGGCCACAAATCTGCATCACAAATTTTCAGACGGATACGTTATTGATATGGGGAGGGGGGATTTTTCCTTTTGATACCACTGTCCTCGTCTTCGTTCCCCTCTTGCCCGTCGGTCTCCATCGGGCTGCTCTCATCCGCATCCAAATCATAGTCCTCCCTGCGGTATCAAGTGTAAAAGTGTCCTCTGGGTCTGGAAGAATGCAACTTGTCATGCTAAATCTGAAGCATCCAAAAATCTGTGTTGCATGCTTACCAAAAGTCGTCCAGTTTTGACCAAGTCGGGAGGCAGTTTCTCATGCAGGATAGGCATCAGAAAGATCGCACAGAATCTGTCACGCTAGGCCCTGCATTCCAGACCTCATGGGTCATGGAAAAGCTGCATGACAAGTCGCGCATTCTTCCAGACCCAGACATTTTTACACTTGATATGCGAAAACGCGTGGCGAATTGCTCAAACAGCGTTCTCCTCTTTGCCGTCCCCCCGGAGCCGCGCTCCCGGGCCAAGTGGAGGGACCCGGTCAGAAATTCCGCGTCCACCGTGAACCGGACGCACTGCTATGCATTGCAAAAGTATCGCACTCGTATTTAAATGCATTACAAATTATTCCCTCAGCATGAGAAATAAAATTTGTAATGCGGATTTGATTACTTATAAAAGATTTGTAATGCATGATTGCAATACGAATACGATACTTTTGCACAGGATAACTGCCCGCACGCCTCGATAATCGACTTCCAGAGCACCCCGTCCTCGCCCTGGTACTTCACCTCAAAGTCCTATGGATGTGTCAGGATCGAAATCAACAAAATCGAAATAATTTGTGATGCATAAAATGGATACCAGTTGGAGCCTAGTTTCCAAGTGGTGCATGACAAATTTCGGGAGCAACAAAATCCAGCCTGTCATGCTGTTTCGGAAAAGAAGACTGCTCCTGTCATGCTACTCCGGCAGCGCATCGCCTTCCCTAAACAGGCTTGCAATCGGTCTCATTTGCCTGCTCCCCAATACAGGCCATATGTACCCTACATTTTATGCATTACAAATTTTTCGATTTTGTCAATTTCGATCCTGACACTCCCATAAGTCCTCGGACCCGTTGCCGCGGAAACTCGGCTCCAGCACGGTCACGTCGATGCAGTGCAGGTATCCAGGAGAAAAAGTGTGTAAGTGTGCCTTGTTTCTTTGAGAAACAGCATCACAAATTTGCTCTACATGACAGAGAAAACCTGTTACGCGTGGCTTGTAAGGGAAAACACACATGAAAAGAGGACTTGTTCATGGCTGTCTGACATGACAGGCGCAACTCTGTTGCATGTTCTGCAACACAAATTTACACTTACACAGTTTTTCTTTTGCATACCAGGCTGATGTTGTTCAGTTCGTTTTTCGCCTTGCCGTTTTTGTCGAAGTTGCTCAGCAATTTTTCCTTCGCTGTCTCGCTAAGCAAATCCGGCACCTGGGTCAACTTCTTCAATTGGTCCGCGAATTCGTAGTGAAAGTGCGCGACTTTGAGCGACAGGTCCGCTTCCCACCCCATGTTGCCGCTGCCCACGAAGAGAATGCGCAGGTTCTGGTTGTCAGCATCGATCTATGAAAGTGCACAACTCGCCCTGCTCCCTCATTAATATTTACATTGCTTGACTTCCGGGATCTGGTCCCGCCTACCCCCCGGCGACAGGTGACCTTGACAGGTGACCGTGACAGGTGACCATGACAGGTGACCTCGACAGGTGACCTCGACAGGTGACCTCGACAGGTGACCTTGACAGGTGACCTTGACAGGCGACCCTGACAGGTGACCTTGACAGGTGACCTTGACAGGTGACCTTGACAGGTGACCTTGACAGGTGACCTTGACAGGCGACCCTGACAGGTGACCTTGACAGGTGACCTTGACAGGTGACCTTGACAGGTGACCCGGACAGGTGGCCGCGACAGGCGGGGCGAGAGGATAAAGCAAAGGCGAGACCAGCGCCTGGACGCAAATATTTATTTATTTTCCACGCCAAATGCCGACGGGAAAATGAAAAATAAATTAAAAGCGCCAAAAAAAAATGCGACGCACAAAATGAAAAAGATTAAAGCTGCAACACAACCTGCCTCCATAAACAAAGAAGTCTTTGCGTTGCCATGCAAAAATAAAAAAGCGGCTATCTCTGCAATGCACGGCCAGGAGACAGCTGCTTACTTTGCTCTGTGGAATCGGAAGGCGTTGCGCTTCAATGTTAGAGAACTTTTTTGCAGCAGCCACACAGAGATATCTACTCTGCTTCTATTTTTGTTTTTTCTTGCAAAATGCAGGGCGCCTAATTCGCCCTTTTTCCACGACTAGCGCTTCGTGCACTGAGCCAATACGCGCGCGCCTGGTGTGAGGCGAGGGGCGGACGCTGTCCGCCCCGATGCCGAACACCCTTCCCCCACTAGCGTTTCGCGCACTAAGCCACTACGCGCGCGCCTGGTGTGAGGCGAGGGGCGGACGCTGTCCGCCCCGATGCCGAACACCCTTCCCCCACTAGCGCCACTAGGGACGAGCACAAGGCCCCAGCGTGGGGACCCTGTCCCCACGCGTGGACCTTGTTTGTCATGCAAATTGCCTAGCTTACGCCTTGGCTCTTGGCACTGTTTGCATGACAAGTTCTGGCAGCCCAAAAAATAGCGCTATTCTCCTGTCCCAATTTGTCATGCGAAACCGGTATTCTGGCTGGCGCTTGTAATGCTGTTCATGCAATACAAGTGAGGGGGAGCAGCAGGTGGAGTTGTGCACTTTCATACGATCGCGTCAAACTCCTCGTCGTTGATGACCCGCAGGGCGTTCTGCACGTATCGTTGCTTCACCTCCGCAAGCAGGAGTTCCGACAGCGTCAATTTCTTTGGCTTCGTGCCGTCCAAATCGTCGAAGTCGATTACGTATCAAGTGTAAAAGTGTCTGTGTCTGGAAACTTGTGATGCTGGGTGGCGTATCATGAGGAGGCCGCAAGTGCTGGCTCAGCATGACAAGTTTCTGAGCTTCTAGGTGTTCCCTATTCTGCAAGACAAACTGCGTTTCTGCATGACAGAAAAACGGGGCGCTTGGGTAATGTGCATGACAGTTTCGCGAGTCATGTGAGACAAGCATGACAAACTTGCATTCTTCCAGACCCAGACATTTTTGCATTTGATATTACGTCGCCCAGGCTAAAGTCGTTGAACATGACCAATTTCTCGTTTTTGTCGTCCCCCTCCACCATGGAGACAATCTTCTTGCCCGGAACCCCGTACCTCTTCCTATCCTGTGCAAAAGTATCGCACTCGTATAAATGCAAGTCTTGCATCACAAATCTTGCTTCCAAGGCAAATCAGCATTACAGATTTTATTTCTCATGCTGAGGAAGTTTGTAATGCATCTATACGAGTACGATGCTTTTGCAGTTCATACTTCTCCAATTTCGGCAACAGCTCCGGAGGAATTTCGTCTATCCTGTGCAAAAGTATCGTACTCGTACTAATTGCTTTTATGCATCACAGATTTTTTTGTGAAGGCAAATCCGCATTACAAATTCAATTTGTAATGCTGAGCCAATTTGTATTGCAATTTATACTAGTACGATGCTTTTGCATTTCATATCGTCCCCGCTGTCCTGAGGATTGTCCTTGGAATTCTTGTTGTTCCCCTTCAGGTCTTGCAGGTCCTGAAACAAATCTAAAACCGCCGGGGTTGTACTTGTAGGGCCCTTCTTATTTTTGGACGACGCGGATATGTTGTTGTTTGAGGGACTGACTTTTGCCTTCTTGCTTTGGCTATAATCTTCGCTCTTACTTTGCGTTTTGTTCTTTGGTGGTGGCATGTCGTGTTGCCCTTCCTTCACATTCCCGTCCACCGGTGGTTGCAGATCCGGCGAAGACTTTAGCGCATCTATTACAGGACCACGAATATTACTGTCGTGTGTATCAAGAAGCTCATCTGGCGATGGTGGTTGTGCCGGTCGTTTGTTTCCCTTGCCGCCTTTCATTTTGTCGAGCAGCATCATCTTCTTTCCCTTTGCTAGTATCGCGTCTGCTTTACTCTTACTTGTTCCTTTACCAGTTGTGCCTTTCAGATCGAACAGGTCTTGCTTGCCCTGCTGTTGACCCTTCTTCCTCATTCCCTCCAGAAGCAACTGCATGTCGAGGTCTTTGGACTCGTCCTCGTCGGCTGCACCTGTTGATAATGTTGACATTGGTGTCGGTCCCTTTCCATCAACTCTCTTCCCCGATGACGAGGAGGACGATGCCTGCTCAGGGCGGCCCGCGTCGTCGTCCCTCATTAACGCGTCTGCTGCGATGTCGTCGACTTCTTGTTGTTCATGTTGATCTTCCGGGTCGTCTAAAAGGTGGGTCATGTCGGAGTCTGGACTGTTGTAGTTGCTGTCTTGCATGACAACCTCCTCCGCTTGCTCCTCTGCCGTTCCCATCTCCACGTCGTCCGTGAGGCCGGACATTTTTGTGCTTTTCAGAAAAGGATCGATAATATACTTGATGTGGTTCAGGGGACGAGGTTTGTTGTAGCTGACAAGGTGACAACTTCTAGAAATTCCGTGCTGGGAAAAATTAGAGTTGGGCAATAAAGGTGGTAACTAATATGTACTCTAGTACATCATGATATTCTAATTACTGGAGGTGAGGGTGACAAAGACAATGAGCGCACGGAATAAAAAGTCATTTTCACATTTCCATTTGTAACAAGCTCGAACTACAACTACTATTAAGGGCAACGATCCGGCGGAAGATTCGAATTCAGTGGCAATCTGAGGGCGAGCCATGGGTAGTTCTTGGAGGGGTTAGTTTTTTTCTGGACCAAGAGGAGCACTATGCAGGAGCCAGAGCACAAAGAATTCAATCTGTTGATCCTTAGTTTCATCTTGACCTTCTAGTATCGCTATCATATCTCTTGTTTGGTAATCCTATATGAACAAGTAGAGGTGGAGCTGCAGCTCAAAATACTACTAGAAGGTTGAAGATGGAGGAAGATCATCACGTAGCCGGACAGTCTTGTCGAATACTACTAGCACGGTCTGAAGTCTCGTTCTCCTTGTATGAAGTTAGGAACTGCTTTGATTTCGAGTCGACTCAACTCCTGCTTTCGGGCTTTACAACCTCAACACACTTTCAGATTTATATATTATTTGTGTCGATTGCCGCAAATATGGTAGTGGCTAGTATGCGCTTTCACATCTTCTGCCAGGCAACACTTGCAGAGAGACACCGAACGGCCCAGACCCAAATCCTCGGCGCGGCGTGCAAACCCGAACGCGCGCGGCAACACATCAAAACGAGCCCGGGCTGCGCGCCGGCTTTGCGCGCGGCGCGCGTGCGACGAAGGACAAGATCCGGAGCCGATCTCGCCTATCTACGAGCCGCCCAGCCAAACAATATCGGGGGCCACGGCCGGGGGCTGGCAAGGAATGTGACACGCTGGGCCACCGACCGATCCAGCCGGGCGTCGGGCGGGCGGGCCGGCGCGAGACTACTGACTGAGACCGGCCCCGGCCGCGCGCGGCGCCACATTTCCGGGCGGCGAAGCCTTGGGGCTCTTCGTGTGCCAGAGTCGCTCTCGAATCGCACGCCCGCACTTTCGGCGCCCTCTGGTCTTTGTCGCGCGCCCGCTCCACCATGATGTGACTGACTGCTGAGAGCGCAGGCCGATGGATCTGATGCGGCCGCCCAGGCGCCGCGTTGAGACTCGCCGGCGAAAAGTTTGCCGAGGAGCATGCGCGGTCGGCCGCGGTCGCTTTTTTACCAGCCTTCGCAGGGGCAGCAGCAGCCGCCGCCTGGGCGGCCTTCTCCGCCTTTCCCGGCTTCCATGCGGCGCGCGGAAGCAAAAGACGGGGCGGCCCGCCCCAGCCTAAAAGCCCAGAACGAAGCCCAGCAAGGTCGGTAGGCCCAAAAGCCGGCCCTCAGCCCCCTGCCAGCCTGCCGGACCAGGCCCGCCGGCCTCCCTGCATTCCCGGCATGCCTCCCCGGGCTTGGGCGGCGGCCCCTCCGTCGGCGTCTTCGGGGCGGCCCACGGGCGCGCACGAACTAAGGGAGGCGCCCAAAATCAGCCGGGCAGGAGGCCAATACAACGGCAACGCGCGGCCTGGACGGAAAACTAAAACCAAGGAGCTGCCGAACCCCGAGGGAGCAGCCCACCTCCGGGCGCTTACCGATGGGCTCGGGTTCTGCTTCGGGCTCCGGCTCGTTGTTTGTCTTATCGCGGGGGCACACTCCTTCTGATGCGGTCCCTGCTGCCGCTTTAGGCCCCGGATTGATTCGGAACTCTCCCGGAAGCGACAACGTCCGAGGGCCGCGCATGCTGGAGCAGGTGCGGCGCCCTGGTGCGGCGTCGAAACTGCTAGACCTGAACCAATTCAAAACATTTGCCACGCTCTCAGCTGGGCACTCAGAGTAGACGGCACTCAAATATATGGACCCAGAGAAGAAATACGTCGAAACTGCGTCTCCTCGTTCTCCTCCACCTCGTCCAAACAGGACAGCACTACGACATTAGAAGAAAACACACAACGAGGAGCACCGGCTGCTCGGACCGGATAGACCTAGACGTTCATCCGCAAACAATTTACCATTCCTTCTGGATCAGCTTCTGCGGCTTCATATTTTTGACGTCAACAAGTAATTGACTTTGATGTTGTGCAGAAAAGAACTGCAACTATGTCTTTTCGTTGAAAATCTTTTCGTTGAAAATCTTTTCGTTGATATTGATTGTATGAAAACCACGATGAAAGAAAGTCGCACCAAAACTGCGCGTAGCCCCAATGAATTTGAGTGAGCTCCCCTCTAGCTTTCATGTGATGTGCATGCATTTTGTACGTTTCCACATGGAAATTTGAAGAAATGGATAGATCCTGAGTTCACCGTCGAAAATGTGTAAACTTTCTACTCCAAGCAAAATTGAAATTGCAACGTAAAACTGTCTGTGCGTACAGCAACTTTAGATCAACTCAATACCACCCAGAGGATAAAGAAGTGTAGTAGAAGACGCTTTGAATTCATAATCTCGAGTGCGCGCCTTGCCGCTGAATCAGATCAGAATTGAAAAAGTGTTCCAAAAATCGTTTGTTCGACCATTTCCTATTCCAGTCTCACCCTGTAGTTTAAACTACAACCGTCGAGATACCGCGAACTGCGGTCGGCACGACCCGCTACCTCGGGTTTCTTGTGGTCAAACTGTTCCTCCTCCCGCCCCTCGCGGACATCATCGGTGTGTTGAGAAAAGTATCAAGTGCAAAAATGTCTGGGTCTGGAAGAATGCAAGTTTGTCATGCCTGTCTGGCATGACTTTTAGATCTGTCGTGATGCATGAGCAGGAAAAGGCGGGCCGATTGCCTATCATGCAAAAACGCAGATTGTCACGCGCAAAACGAAACACACAGCAGCGCAAAAACTTGTCATGCTGGGCTGGATATTGCAGTGCGCCCACAATTCGTAGATTTGCATCACAAGTTTCCAGACCCAGACATATTTGCAATGCATAAAAAGACTCGGAATCAATCCTCTGCTTCGACGGCGTATCGTACCGGTTTTCTTTTCGGTGGATGCTGTGCTGCCGCGGAGTATCACACCAAAAAGTGTTAACGGAATTTGTGATGCAGCAGGGCATCACAAAACATGCCAAAATTTGTAATGCGTAGCATGCATATTGGGCTACATTTGTGATGCATGACTGTAATCTGTGAAAACCGTTAACGTTAACACTTTTGCTTGTAATACGGAGTGGGGCAGCGAGATCCTGGGCCGCCGGTTTGCAGAAGGTCGGAGGCGAGGGGACCTGATAAGGTTACTCCTTATTCATGTGGGTTTTGAAGACGAAGAAGTAGAACTAGAATCAGTGATGTATGGCTTTCTCTAGTACTGCGCAGAAAGCCATGATCGCTACTTTAGTCGCACAGTAGCAATACTGGCATCTGCTGCTAGGGGGCCACGTGATCCGAGGAGAAAATCAACGAACAAGAACCAAAGTATTAGATCACAAGAACAACTCAAAGGAGCACAGCAAGAACATTAGCATTACTCGTCGACGTTGTATACACCGAAATGAACCTCCACATCAATCAGTCCACAACTCCTTATTTCACTACCTCCTGTCCGTCCTCCCCTGGCTGTCATCGGCATACTGAAATCTTCTTCCGCCCCGCACGCTTGTTCTTCCAGCAACGATCGCTGAAAGGCGTAGAAGTTTCTTTTTTTCAGCACTTGGTCCTTCTTGCCGTAGAAGCTCTTCATCAGATTTTCCGTGTTGTTGCGCCGTTCGCGGGGAGCGAGCAGAGGCTGGTCGGCAGCGGAAGATGTGTTCCCTGTTGAGGAGGATGAAGACGAGGAAGTTGCTCCATTTTGTTGTGTGCTATTCATCGCTGCTGGCGCACCTCCTGCTCCTGCTGACGTCGAGCCATTTTGTCCTCCTCTTGTCGAATTACTGCAATCTTCTTGTCCACCTGTGCCGCCTCTAGTACCCGTTGTACTATCCCCTCCTGCTCTACTTGATGACGTCGACCCGCCGAGACTCGCAGAGAGGGCGGAAGAAGTAGAATTTCCGTTCGGTAGACTCAGCCCACTCATTGCAGCTCTGCTGGTCGAGTTATTATTCGACGTCGTCCCCGCCCCATTTCTGCTCGCTAGTTTCGAGAAATCCAACTTCGGCAGACCCAACCCCATCGTGTGGCGACGGGCAGTTGTAGTTGAGGCTGTGGTGCTGGTGGAAAGATTATCTCGCGGCGTCTGCAGGGCCGACGACCCTCCATTTATTGCGCTGTTCGAATTTGAGCTGCTGCTCTTGCTGTTGTTATTGGTCGCGTCGCTGTATCTCCTTTCTTCTTTCAGCTTCGCGTTTTCGCGCTTCAATTGTTCCGTTTCTTGTTTCCACTTCTCCATTTCCTCTCTTTCCCGCTATGGATTGCAAATGTGTCTGGGTCTGGAAACTTGTAATGCTGAATGGTCATGATTGACTGTGCCTTTAACTGCAGCGCAGCATGACAAATTTTTCAAACGCTTTGTCATGCGCAGGACGCAATACGAACTGCGTTTTTGCATGACGAAAGTGCGGCGCTTTGTTTGCTGCTTTTGCAATACAGATCTTTTAGGAATGCGAGACACGCAATACAGTTTCGACCTGGGACCCGTCCAGACCCAGACATATTTGCATTTGATACCCGCTTCCACTTTTCCATTTCCTCCATTTCCCGTTTCCACTTTTCCATTTCCTCCTTTTCCCGTTTCATCTTTTCTAGTTCCTCCATATCCTGTATGGAGGCGTGAGGATCGAAATCAACAAAATCGAAACTATTTGTGATGCATAAAATCATACCAGATGGCGCCTCAGTTTCCAAGTGGCGCATGACAAATTTCGGGAGCACCAAAATCCAGTCTGTCATGCTTTTTGGGCAAAGAATACTGCTCCTGTCATGCTGCTCCGGCAGCACATCGTCTTTCCCTAAGCAGGCTTGCAATCGGTCTCATTTGCGTGCTCCCCTACACAGGCCATGCGTGCCCTACAACATTCCTTGCATTACAAATTTTTCGATTTTGTCGATTTCGATCTTGACACTTCCATATCCTGTTGCTTTTTCCGCTCATATTCCGCTTTCTTCCGCTCAAATTCCTCCATTTCCGCCCGGAGTGTATGGGACTCTCAACTGTTGCATGCTCAACCGTCAGATAAATTTGCAATGCAAGAATATAAAAGTCAAAGGGGGGCAGTTACACTTCTAGCATTACAAGTTCCGGCGCACCGATGTAGGTGCTGTTTAGCCCTTCGGGAATTTGTCATGCGAAGCACCTTCATTTTGTGGAGGCTTATTATAATTTTGCATCACAAATTCATGCAACAGCTAAGAATGCAACGTTTGAGAACGCCATAGAGTGCCTTGTTTGCTTCGGAGCCCGCGTCTGTCGGAACGGAAGAGACCGACATTTCCGACGGAGAGGGGGCGACCTTGTTGTGTGTCGCGGGCGCAAGCGTTGAGCCGGAAATCTTGTCGAGGTTGAGGTCGTTGTCCTGGAGAGAAGTACTATCTGTTGGCGTCCCGATGGTGATCTTGCTGTCTGAAAGCGAGTTTGGATTTGCTTCCGACGTCCCGTGAACGTGCGGTGTCGGGTGCGTAGAAGAGGAGGAAGTTGTTGTGGGTGTGTCGTTCGGCACCGGAATCGTACTCGTCGTAGTTGACGGTTTATTATTTATTTGCGCCGTTGTAGTTCCTCCTGTGCCTTTGTTCCGTCTCGCCAGCATTTCTGCATACGCTCGTTCCAATTCTTCGTCCTGTTTCCGTTGTTCCTCCGCTAGCCGCTCTTCTTCCTCTCGTTTCAACCTCTCCTCTGAGGCGAGGTCCTGCCACATCAGGAGGACGGACCGGGATATGGCGTTCTCAAACGTTCCATTCTCAACTGTTAATGCAAAACTGGCAAAACTTAAAGGGAGAAGGTTGCGCCTGTAGCATTACAAATTCCGCACAGATCATTTAGGTGCTGTTTAGCCCTTCGCAGATTTGCCATGCGAGACAGCTTGTTCGTGTGGATGATGACGGTAGTTTTGCATGACAAATTCATGTAACAGTTTGAGAGTGTAACGCTTGAGAGTCCTTCCATACGGGAGAGTTTCAAGTTGTAAAAATTTTTCATCTTTATCATCTTCTTCGCCTTGTTTTTCAGCTTTATCAGCTGCACGAACATCGGCACGATGTGGTTTAACATGAGGGAGATTTTATCTTTGCTCCGCCGCACCCGGATCTTTTTATACCACCGCATCAACTTCACATACACCCGGCAGCACTTCACTAAGGCGTAGCGCAGCCCGTCGGACCGGGTGCGCTTCATGAGTCGCTTCATGTACACGCACGCACGGACGGTCCACAGCACTTTCTTCAGCCGCTTTTTACGCATCTGATGTGTTTCAATACGTTGAAAAGAAGTAGCACGCTTATGCACCATCACAAAAGTGGCAAAAGCTACTGTATTTCCAATTCACACCAGCTGGCATGCTAACGTCGATGAACACGACAGGACTAGCACAACACATCAAGATTATACGATTATGGATCGACAATATGCAGAATAGATACATGTCTCCTCAGCTTGTCCGCGATTTCCGGCCCAATGCCCTCTGCCGACAAGGATTCCAGCACTGCTAATTTCCCCGCCTTCAGAAACAGTCTCGTCGTGCCAATGGTCCAGTCTTTCCACCTTAATTGTTCCGAAAACGCCTGCATCAGCACGTCAACAAACGCGCGGGGTATGCAGTGGAAAAGCATCGTAGCATAGTGGTAAGAATTGCAATACCGCATGACAGATCTACTTCTACCCGTCTGTAAACTTCTACGCTGAAAATCAGCATTACAAACTCCATTCATTTTCGTGCTACAGCAAACTTGTAATGCAATCTCTACTAGTATGATCTTCCTTTTGCAATGCATACGGGAATCCAGCTGCCGAAAGTCCTCCGGCATGTCCTTCTGGAAGCGGTCGGCTAAGTATGAGAGTGCACAACCCCCCTCTCGTCGTCCCCCTCATTTGTCATGCGAAATAGCAACTCACTTTTTCCTTTACCTCTTGCTGGCACTGCATGCGTAACAGGATCCACATGAAGCCGAACAACTACAACATTAGAACAATCGGTCGCCAATTTTCATGCAAAAGCCGCATCTGTGTCCGAGCTTGTGTTGCCGTTCATGCGCTAGTGCAAATGGGGGCGGAGGAGATGGGGAAGTTCTTGTTGTGCACTCTCATAATAAATCTTGAAACGGGCACCGGTGCGGGTAGCCGTCGTGCATGATTTGCACCAGCTCAATCGTGCCCGATTGCCGCATCTGGTCCAGCATGACATTGCCGTTCCAGTCCGTGGGCTTTTGCTTCACGTTCGGCTTAAAGCACCGGATGTAGTGCAAGGAGCAAGACTTCAGTGTGTCCATCAACGCTTCCAGATCCCTTAAATACTTCCTCGCAACGGAGTTGAAATGGGACTGTCCGACCTGGCAAGCGGACAAATCTGCGCACTTCGCTACCGTCGGGTTGGCTGCGTCACGAATCAGGCACTCGGCGTCCCCAACGAGTTTGGCGTTGTTTTTTTCCAGGAAATCCTGGGTTTGGTACGTCACCTCGCCGGCGTAGTGCTGGATTACGAAGCTGATATGTGGTGGCAGTGAGTCGTTTTTGTGGTCGACAATTAAAACTTCTAGTTCTTTCGTATCCTATTTATAGAAGTGGGCTCTGCATGACAAAGTCAAAGGGGTCCTCGTCCTCGAATGTTTTGTGGTGTGCATGACAAAATAATGCTCATCATCAATCTACCCGTGCTCCATTCGCAGCTGGTTCTCTTTCGACACGTTTTTGCCCCGTTTTGGTTCCCGGAAAATGCCGCCTAGACCCAGCACACGGTGGCATTCTTCGGTAAACCTGAAGACAGGTATAAACTTTCTTATTCCTTTAACTTTATGTCTGCACACAACTTTTCTTACGTTCGGTTCGTTGTGCAAAAGCGGAGATTAGAACGACGAGAGGGACGAGTGCTGGCAATGAACAAGTCGCATCTTCATCTGTGGGCAATAAAAAAGCTACTTCTACTACTTCTGGTCCGTGGTCTATGGGAATGTCAGGATCGAAATCGACAAAATCGAAAAATTTGTAATGCATAAAATGTAGGGCACGCATTACCTGTGTTGGGGAGCAGGCAAATAAGACCGATTACAAGCCCGTTTAGGGGAAGACGATATGCTGCTAGAGTAGCATGACAGGAGCAGTCTTTTTGCTCAAACAGCATGACAGACTGAATTTTGTTGCTCCCGAAATTTGTCATGCGCCACTTAGAAACTGAGGCTCCAACTGGTATAGATTTTATGCATCACAAATCATTTCGATTTTGTTGATTTCGATCCTGACATTTCCATATGGTCGGCCTGTTTTTAGCCGCCTGCATGTTGTGGTCGTCCAGTCGCATAAAGATGCTCGATATCAACTGTAAAAGTGTCTGGGTCTGGAAGATTCTGACACTTGTCATGCACGTTTGGCATGAGCCCTGATGTCTGTGATGCGTGCCCTAGCATCACAGATTTTTTGAGAGCTTCTTGATGCCTATTCCGCATGACAAATGCCCTCTCCACGTAGCAAAAATTACACTCCTTTTGGTACTCATGCAATACAGATTTCTCTGGAATCCAAATGCAGCATCACAAGTTGCATTCTTCCAGACCCAGACATTTTTACATTTGATACTCGAAATGCAGTTTATCACCGGATCTGCGTCGGGCAGCACCACATCCTCCCACTTCAGCCCTTCTTTTTTGTATAGCGCTTGCTCCGCAGTGAGCACGTTCTGCACGAAAAACTGCTGCAGCCGCTCGTTTGCCAAGTTGATACAGACCTGCTCGAAGCTGTTTACCTGCAAGCACTCGAAGCCGTAGATGTCCAGAATTCCGCACTGCTTCGTGTTTTTCTGCCGATCGCCCCCGTGCACGGATTTATTGATCTGATCGCAGATTAAGTGGAAGATTCTCTTATACAGCATCTTCAGCAGCGATTGCTGGGTGGCGACGGCCTGTTGCGCACTCCTCGGCACGGTGAAAATCTCCTTCTTGAAAACCCCCAGCTCCTTCTTTTCAATCATCATTTTCCTCGTGAGAAAAACTTCCTCCAGCGCTTCGCTGTCGAAGCCGCACAGCTTCGCGCCGATCTTTAAGTGTTTCAGGTCCGTGCACTATCCTAATCGAAAACGTCCCCTCCACCCCGGAGTCGAGATGGGGATCTCGCAACACAAATGGCGAAGTTTTGAGAGTCAAGCATGACAAGTTCGTGTCTGTATTGTAGTGCAGCTTAGCAAGTACAGCCGCAGCACAAGAAATCCATCTCATCATCCTGTTTACAGCATTACAAAGTCCGCAACGCGATTGGAAATGCCTCTCATGCGGCTGCGTATTACATTGATTTTTTTTTCATTTTTGTAACTGCAATAAAAAATCTGCATGACAACTTACTGTGGTGTGGGGACGTTTTTACTTGGGATATGCACTGGGAGACGTCTTGGTCCTTGTCATCTTGGACCGTTTTGAATTCCACCTCGCCCAAGTGCACAATGCCGGCGATCGACTGGTAAATCTGCAGACGCTCCTCAGGGGTGAAGCTGTTGTTTTTTGATTTTCATTTTCCTTTTGGTGTTCATGTGCTGGCATCTTGCAAAGGTGTGTTCTTCTTACAAATATCAGTTTTCGTTTTGATGTTCCTCGTACACGAAATTTCAACTTTTACAAGAACCCGGAGGTGGCCCGTCTCTTACTCTTGCGTACGTCTGTTGGCCGCGTTGTTTCCAAATCAAGAGCATGAACAGGTGGATGTTTTATTTTACCCTATCCCCTCCAAACCGTCGTCCAAGACTTTCATGTTCCCCGTATCATCTCGAAATTGCGGTAGATTCCCGAGTTCCGTGTGTCCGTTCCCGTACAGCAGGCGGTAGGGCGTTTCCGCATCCAGCTCCAACTTCTCGCGCATGCCCGCGTCACACCCAAAGAGCAGCTCGTAGAAAACATGGTAGGTGCGCTCGCCCTGGCCGAAGGCGACCACCCGCGAAGATTCGAGCAGGTAGGTTCGCACCTCGGCGCCGACCAAGTTGCCGACGGCGTTGAAGCAGAGCGCGTTGTATTTGCCAAAGCGGGAGCTGTTCCCGTTGCGCACCGTCGTGGCGTTGCCGATCGACTCTGATTTTTGAACGTTTTACGTTGAGTAAAAAATGCTCCACCTCCTGCATAGTGACCTTGCAGCGTCGATTCTGACTCTGAGATGAACTTGTAAGACACCGTATGACTTTCTTGCTTCCAAAATTAAGACATGACTACTTCTACTGCAATCAAAATCATTTTTCTACCCAGTATCGGATTTGCCCCATTCAGAATCTTGTTCTGAATGTCACTCGCCTGGGCTTCCCCGGTTCTACTTCTGTCGGCTAAGCAGCTCATGACGATTTTGGCCGTTTCGGTCTTTCCGGCCCCAGATTCCCCAGAGATCACCATGGCTTGATTGCCCGAGATTTGCAGCTGCCGATAGGCCATGTCCGCAAGCGAGTAGGGATGCGGGGGGAGCGTGTGCGCCGAACCAATGTTGACGTACTTTCGCTTCAGCTCCGTGGTGTACAGATGAGAAACGTCGCGGTAGGGATTCACATATGCATTGCAAAAGTATCATATTCGTAGACGTAGTGATCGTCGTAGGCCTGCTGCACTACAAGTCCTATTCTTAAGGAGCTGTGCAACGAATGGTATTGTCCTCATGCGACTTATACTAGTAGGCACGATAGTTGTACTTTTGCGATGCATATCACAGCCAGAAGGACGGACGACGTGAATGTGTAGATATCGCCGGCGAAATACCTGTTGTGTGAAGATGTTGATGACCTCGTGTTTACGTTTAAGTAAGTAGGTCCTTGCTGCATTTTGGCAACTGGTAGTGCAAGTAGAATAAATCGCCATGCATGAAAAACTTAGAGTGCACATCATCTTGAGCATCTTGTTAGGTAAAAGATTCTTTCTATCTACACCTCCTTCGCAAGTTTTCCAAGATATTTGCATCGTCCAAGTGCGTAAGCGACGTGCAGTCCTCTTTGCTGACAAATGGATCTGGTCTGGCCCGCACCTGGTCTCTTGCGTGATACAGCTTGTTCTCCACCGCGCAAGAGCCGTCATCTTTACCCGCCACACCCACAACTTCCCGGCCTGTATCCTTGTCTATCTCTACTGGCTTTACCAATAGCATACCTGTCTGCTGGTTTGTCGGCTCGACTGCTTTCCCCGGAATATAGCCGTGTGCGTCGTCGGGAATCCAAACAGGCGTGCCCGTGTCATAGTGGGGGAATTTCAACAAATCAGCTAGATCTTCCCGATCGACGGTTACGGTTTTTTGTACTTCTAGTAGAGTTTGCGGCGCGGTGGAGCTCGACGACGTTCCGGTTTGTAGGTCGGTTGGCGGGACAAGACCGGAGGGTCGTGAAACATCAACATCAAGATTTTTTGCTCCAGCTGTAGTACTCCCGTTCGGAGGCGAGCCGGATGAAATTTGTGATGCGCCACCAGCAACTGCACCACGACCATTGGGCGGTCTTGGTGGGGAGGGGGAAGCAGAAGATGAAGAGGACGACATGGACGAGGAGGTCATGATTTTTATTTGGTTTGATGTTCTGAAACAGAAACTGTTAACTCCAAAGAAAAGAGTTAGATACGAACACGACTATGCTCACAAAATAAATCTTCAAAACTTCTTTTATGGATGCTCTCTCAACTACTCAGCGGCACGACGAAGGTTTTGGTCGATCATTGCAAATCAGGATCTTCAAGTAGCGGATACTCGTCAAGATAGCCCTTGTGAAACGGACCTGCACGAGCTGCAGTTGCACTGGCAATTCTACTTTTTGATTTCCCTTTATTGCCATTGAGCAGAGATTTGACGTCACGAAGCCGACGTGCAAAAATAAACGACAAACAGAAAAGCGAGGGCACACTGTCGGTCCCAAAACGAAGCCGAACCCGATCACCTCCTGTGAATCAACGCGTGCTCCTGTTCCTGAAAGAGCAGTTATGCAGCTGGTGCTGATGCGACGATTTTTACATTTTCAACAAGCAGCGAGTGAATACAAAAGTTTCATCCGAAAATATTTGTGTGCGTGTGTCCAGAGTGGAAAAGCAAAGCCAGGTCGTTCATCGGTGTGTTTTGCGTATGATTTTGAAGATTCTGTGCCCAAAAGTAGTCTCCAACATCATCTCGATAGTAGTTCTTCTTGATCCAACCATTTATGTACAGTTTCGTTGTTAGGGTACTAGCGGAAGGTCAGAATGATCAAAGCTTTAACAAGTTTAAACAACTTGCAGCGAATTAATATTCTCTTCATCATCATCTGCCCCGCCTTCGGCTTCGCACTTCTCAGTCTACTACTTTCACAAAACGATCAAAGAACCTTCTCCCACTAGCTCGCTGCTGCACGGACTTGTTGTATTCTCGCTGCACTGCTGCAAAAAATCTTGGATGAAATCTAGCTTTGTTCGTGTTTCCCATTGTACTGCTGGCGTTGCGATTTTTTCCGATTCGGTTGAAGAGCAAAATCCGGACGAGATATAAACTCGCTGGATCTACTAGTACTGCCCCCTGATGCTCCTGTTGATGTTTTTCGCCTTGGTCTTGGTCCTCGGGAGGTCCGAATCAGAAAGAAACCCCTACTCCTGCTTTTCGAAATTATAGGTTCTCTCTGTTGTTCTTGTTCGTTGTAAGATGGTGAAATTATTACTGCTACTGCTTGGAAGGTGTCGCAATAAAACCGCTCACTGCACTGCGTCGGTTGGTGTCTTGGTGTGGAACTGGAAGGTGTGAAATAAATCAGGAAGATGTCGTCGTCGAACAGGTTGGTATTTTTTTTTCTTGTTTTCGAATGTGCTGGAAGATGTTCCTTGTGCATCAAGCTGCTGTGAGGACACTGCGAGAAGTTCCAGAGGTTCGCTTGATACATTTTGCTCTTGTTTTCTCCAGAAATTCTTCAGTAAGTTTACTGCTTCCTTATCCCACGAAAAAAGTGTTACATACAGTTACACATTTGTAGTATATTCAGCAACACGAATTTCTCGGCATGAGAGAGAAAACTTGCAATGCAGAAATCCTATAGGGAAAACACCTATGAGAGGAGGCAGGCTCCTATGCATATCCTGCATGACAGAGCTTGTCTGTCTTGCTTGGCCTGCAACACAATGTGTAACTGTAACACTTTTTTCTTGCGATATTCCTGCCTCAAACGGTTTCCATTTTCACATCCTCTTCCGTCTTCTTTTTCATCGGCAGCGGTACCAAGCCGACACTGGTAACGCCGATTTGGGTATCAAATGCAAAAATGTCTGAGTCTGGAAACTTGTGATGCTGGGTGGCGTCTCATGATGAGGCATTACAAGTGCTGGCGCAGCATGGCAAGTTTCTGAGCTTCCAGGTCGTGTTGCCTATTCTGCATGACGAACTGCGTTTCTGCATCACAGAAAAATGGAGCCCTTGGGTAACGTGCATGACAGATTTAAGAGTCATGCCAGACAAGCATGACAAACTCAAACATGCAATCTTCCAGACCCAGACATTTTTGCAATCCATATTGGGACAATTCTTCCAGGGACAAAGCCAGGCCAAATCGCTTGTCCTTAATGGCTATGAAATGCAAAAGTGTCTGGGTCGTCTGGAAGAGTGTGAGCTTGTCATGCAGGTTTTCCATGATCCTTGAGGTCTGGAATGCGGGGCCTAGCATGACAGAGTCTGTGAGGTCTCGTTCATGCCTATCCTGCGTGAGAAACTCCCTCCCAATTTGGTCGAAAGTGGACAGCTTTTGCTGGCACTCATGCAACACAGATTTTTGCATGATTCGGATTTAGCATGACAAGTTGCAATCTTCCAGACACAGTCATTTTTGCAATCCATAATGGCGTCCCAGCACACGTAGCAGTAGTTCACTCCCCGGTCCAGGTCGCACGCGTAGTTCGGAACCTGTATTCATAATTGCGGTTTTTGATTTTGTACTTGGAGTGCATATAACAACTTGTAGTTACCGTTCATCGTTTTCAGGTGGATCAGGAACAGGATGCAATTCACGCATGACAAAAGCGACACTCTGGCACGCATATATAATCATATCCATCACCACTGGTGAATAGCCTTGGGAAAGAAAATGAAAAAAACGCAGCCTAAAATGCTAAACTATACCTCCCAGTTGTCCGGTGTGCACTGGGGGTTGGCGCAGGGTCGCTTCTGCACCGGCGCCCGCTGCTGTATGGAAGCCTCAGAATGGAAAAAATCCTCAAAATGGAAATGATTTGTGATGCATGAAATGCAACACCAAAAAGACTGCATTGCAGAGAACGCAATGGAGGCCGACTATTGTGCTTCTACGGGTTCAGAATTGGGCTGCTGATTAGCACGAGAGACGGGCACCCGTTTGCCTAACTAGCATGACAGACACGTTTTGAGTGCCCGGGAAATTTGTCATGCGCCGACTAGAAATGGTGCTTCGACTGGAGCCGTCTTTTTGCATCACAAATTATTTCCACTTTGAGGATTTCCATTCTGAGGCTGTCATATGCTGCGGCGGTGGGTGGTAGGTACCCCTGGGTGGCTGTATCCTGAGTAAAAATGTCCCCACACGCACCATAGTCAAGATGGGGAATCGGCTAGACAAATCCACAAGTTTTGGCTGTTTTGCATCACAAATTTGGACTCGTAGTGTAGTGCTGTTTGAGCTAGCTCAGCAGCATCACAGACCTAGCGCACCATGCCGAATGGAGCATGACAAATTTCAAAACACGACTAGAAACTGCTTCTCATGGGGCTCCGCATGAGAAACATATTCAGCATGTAGATTTGCATTACAACTATGGGGTGGGGACGTTTTTAAATAGGATAGGCTGGCCACTGTACATGGTTGGGCCGCCGGGAAACGCCTGGGTCGCGTAGGGTCCTTGGGGGGCCTGGGGTTGCATGCCCGCGGCGGTGTTCAGGGGTCGCTGGCCGGAAACGAAACTGGCGAAAGAACCTGGTAAAAAAAGAGTTCAGTGTAGTTGTACTGCAAAGTAGATCGAAGTTGTCTAGCAACATTACTTACCCCATAATCACTGAGAAGGTTGTAAAATAAACAGATGCGGTATGCAAGAAAAGTCCGCTGTAATGCGCGATGGCAAGCAGGGGATGTTGGAGAACAACGCAGGAAACAACAACTCAATACTTGCTTTGGACTGGGCGAAGCCCGCCTTGGACATGTGTTGTCGGTTCATTTTTTGGTTGTAGTGCAACTAGTAGCGAGCTCAATCAGCGTCTTTTGTATCTAAAACGGAAAAAAAAACCTTTCAGAAATACGGCCGGACTAACACGACTAGGTAAACAATAGAGAGGGAAGGTCGTCCGATAATATGCGCTTTGTTGAGCGAGTGAAGAGATGCGCTGTCTCCTACTTATCGGTTTCTGTTTGTGGGTTTGGGTACCGCTGCGAAAAAGTTGCTCAATGGTTCTAGTGGTAGTACGTACTGATCCCAAAAAGCCATAAGATGATCAGCTATTTTTCTTGCTTTGAAATGAAAACAAAAACTCAACTTCTCGACCCAAATTCACATCCAGAAGGTCTGAGACGATCGACGATTGAGGAGGGGCGGGGAAATACCCCTTATATTGTTTTTAGTATTCTAATTCTATTTGCTTCGAAGATTTTTGTTTTTTTTTTTGGTTTCGCGGAGCATGTGAATGATCTTGGAGTTGTCGGTGGCAGTCGAGCAGTTGCAACGAGCTCTGTGCAGTTTCTTTACATTTACGGCGGTTTGCTGTCGGATTGTCATGTTCAATTTTGATTTTCTTGTTTCAAATGATCATCCACTGTGCAACATATTGAATTTCATCGGTAAATAAAAGAACACAAGTGAGTCTTCCTCTTCGTTCTCAAGCACCAACCAGCATGAAAAGCAATACGCTTCTCGTCGGGTTTGCCGCATTACAGCTTTTTTTTCATCGCGTTGCTTTATTGTCTGTCGTTGTCGCTAAATTTCGAAAGTACGTACTTACTAAAAGTATTCTGATCTGTATTCTCGACACCGATGAACACCAAGTTCAGTTTGAGGTTTGCCCGCCCTTTACTTTTTTGAGGTGCAGATGAACATGTTAAACAGCAGTCAACAAATAAAACATCCTGAAATTCCTTGTCGTTCCTCAGAAGAAGAAGTTCCACAGGAAGAACAGGAACACGACAATGCCCATCATCATCCTCCTGAACAGTTGTCGGAAGTCGCGGTTTGCCGTTATCTTGATTTCGTTCACCGCGTCGTGCGTCATTTCCGCGGTGCGCAGCACGTGCGCTTCTATGGACGCGAACTGCTCTATCCTATGTAAAAACGTCCCCACCCCATAGTCAAGATGGGGAATCGGCTAGACAAGTCCACAAGTTTTGGCTCTCGTGCATGACAAATTTGGACTCGTAGCGTAGTGCTGTTTGAGCTAGCTCAGCAGTATCACAGATCTAGTTTATCATGCAGATTGGAGCTTGACAAATTGCAAAACACGACTAGAAAATGCTGCTCATGGGGCTCCGCATGAGAAACATTCTGAGCATGCAGCTTTGCATGATTACGACTCTGGGTCTGGGGACGTTTTTAAATACGATATGCTCGCTCGCGCGGCTGACGTGGTCGGAGAGATCGGTGTAGAGGTTCTGCAAGTCTTCCATCCGCGTTTGAACAGAAACCATCCGCTCGTACCTGCCCTGCTCCAAATCCGCATCGGTGATCTCCTGGCCTAGGAAGGATTTCTGGGCCTGCTGCTGGAACTGGGAAAGTTGAGGTTGGTTTATTATTGTTCCATACGGAAGATTATTAACATTGTTCGACCTCGAGCTACTACTTGCCGTGCTGGAGGAAGTAGAGCTCCCGGTAGTTGTATTATATGCGTTATTTGAAGACGTCGTCGGGATTAGCGGGTCCTGGTTGTAGTTGTTCTGCAGGTTCAACCCGCCGGCGCCGGAGGAACTTGAAGATGAACCACCGCCCGCGCGACCACCTGCTCCCCCGCCTGAAGACATGTCGATAAGTTCGTGTGAAGTTGTTGTACTCGATCCAGCCTGTTGCCTATTGCTATTTCCAGCTCCAATCCCTCCTGTGGAGGTTGACGGACTGGTACTTCTCTGCACGTTGCAGGCGTTGATGTACTGCTGGATCTCGTTTTCCAAGTCCTTGGCCGCAGCTTGGAGCTTCATGGAGAGCTGCTGGTACATCTGTTTTCTCGACGCCTTCTCCGTCACGTCGTTCGCGTTCTGTGTGTAGGCCCGGAGTCGTTTCATATGCATTGCAAATATAATATGCCTGGGTCTGGAAAATCAAAATAAGAAAAAGCTGAACCTGTAGTCTTGCGTGTTTGGCACTCCCAAAAAATCTGTATTGCATAAGCAGCAAATAAAGCGCCACACTTTCGTCATGCAAAAACGCAGTTTGTAATCTAATGCGTCCTGCGCATGACAGAGCGTTTGAGTCACAGTCAATCGTGGCCATTCAGCATTACAAGTTCTTTCCAGACCCAGACATCATACTTGTATTTGATATTTCAACACGGTCTGCAACTCCGCAATCTGGGCGATCGAGGCGTCGATTAAAGACCGGGTTTGGAGGAGGGAGGAGCTGTCGGCGATGGTGAGTTCCTTGTGGATGTTGTAGGCAGAATTCTGCACGTTGCGGATGCCCGATTCCAATAACCGGCAATCCTGCACGTAGTCGGCGTCGGACATTTTTTTGATTTTGTAGTAACTAGGGCCAAGATGAGAAAGTAGTACACGCAAATTTCTAACGGGATTGACTAAGATCAAGTCTCTAGCTGTGAATAGAAGGGGACGAGAAGAGACAACTAGCAACGATGAAGTCGAGAGGTCGTAACAGGGTCAGGGGGATAGGCATAGGATTTAGAGCCCGTTGACGTACTAGTACAGGCGCAACAGAAATGAAGAACATTCTAATAGCCTACATGCTCAGAAAGAAATACCTAATATCTTAGGTCCGGGTTGTACTCTACTATAATTTACTGCTGTAATATAAGAAAAGACTCATCCAAGAATTATTCCATCCTGACTGCAATCCACGACATCACCTTTACGACTTCTATGTATCGATATCGTTGTAGTAGGGGACTGAACCCTCAAAAGCTGCACTCTCTACTTGCTGATCGCAAATTTATCGCACATCACCGAAAAAAAGAATCCGACATGGATTTTGTATTTCTGAGCAGGAGAAGGAACCAAAAAACAGCTATCGAGATCTCGTGGAACAACTACGGCGACATTGATTTAGGGGAAGTTTCTTCATCTGCCTATGTATATTTTTGCGGTTTTCTTTTCAAAAGTGCTGGCATACGTAATCCCACAACACGACGCCGGGGCCTCGGGGCGGAGGAGTCCTGGTGACGTGAAGCGATAAGGGGTCAGTCAAATTTATTCTTCGAGTGGGCGATTTAGTTTTTTTCATTTGCGATTCGGACGAGCGCGAGCGCAAGGACGCTTGGCTGATTACCAGATGAGGATCAAGTAGAAGTAGTAGGAAGAACCACGCGCAAGTGGTCTTCTTAGCTTCAACATCATACAGGTAGTCAGAATCTTCTCCGAAGTTGAACATGCGTAGTAGCCGCCTTGTTCCAGCATATCTAATAATTGGTAGACCACGTGCAATTTACCGTGTGGTCTCAACAGGAATTAGTGCTAGCCGTGGATAATAATTATCTCGGCAGACGTCCTCCGCTCATCAAGTTTTCACTTTATGTAGAAATCTTTGGGGAGGTGATGGCGATGATTAGTTCGAGCTGGGCGCGGCGCAACTCCCTCCTCCGACGCGCGGCAGGAAAGGCCTGCCCTGCTACCCTAGTGATACTACAAGTGAAACAAGTGATACAAGTGAAACAATTTTTTCTGTTGAAAACCGGAGCAGACAATACAACATCAAAACCGGAGCAGACGAAATGTTTATTTCCAAAATGTTTATTTCCAAAACCTGTACTGCCAGCGAGAGAAAACTTTTCCAAAATAGTTACTTCCAAAACAAATCAATAAAAATCAATAGCCTGCTATTTTCAGATCTAATTTCGCAGTGTGAGATTGAGACTTTTATATTTCGCCCGACCGAACTACTGCTGCGAGCACGCATTGCTCTCGGACGGCTTCGGCTCGGGCGCGGCGTTGAAGGCATGCAAAAGTGGTTTTGGACGTAAGACCTACTCAGCTGCCTTCGACCACTAAAGTTGCGGCGCGTTTCCAGGTGTCGCGAGCATTTTTGCTAATTCTTCGACAGCAAGTGCTTTTTTCTTCATTTCGGTCGCAAATGCGTCGATATTCTCCCGCAGCACCTTCTTTCGTGCTGCGACCGCCGCGACGGCTTCCGACAGCTTTGCGAAGCCGGCAGTCTGGGAAGATGTAGATGCGTCATCTGTCGCGTACTGTGCCGGCAAGGCCCACTTCTGCGGGAAAGCCTTCCGCTCGGCGCCGTACACTTCGTAGTTCGCCCCGGCCTGCGAGGCGTCCACCCCGAGCCCGTGCGCCACCATCAGCTTGTCGTTCGCCAGTTGCTCCTCCGATTGGGGCATCAACACCGTGGGGACGCGCGCGCGGAGCGCCTCGGAGAGGCTGCTAATGCCTCCGTGTGACACGAAGATGAGGCGATTCTCCCGCGCCGACCGTGCGCCGAGCAGTGCCTTCTGCGGGAAATGCCCCTCGTACAGCTTCACCGTGGCTTGGCCGGTTCCATTTTCCGTCAGCGCGGCCAAAATGTCCGCCGGCGTTTGGACCTTTTCTTGCTCGGCCTGGCCCCCCGGATAGGCCACGCGCACCGCGACGACGTACTCCTCGCCGAGACTCAACAGGTCCTCCAGCATCTCCTTGTACGGGAGGCGGCGTTCTCCCTTGTTTCCACCCCCGACCAGCGGAACCCCACCGGTCGTGCCGAGAGCCACGAACACCAGGGTTTTCGGAGGTTTCGCCAGCACTACTTGTTGCCCAGGAGCACCCGCCGCGCCGGCGCCCGAGGTGGTGGGCCCGGCTCCTGCGCCGGCAAGTGCCAGCGCTTCGAGCTCCGCGACTTCGGGCGCCACGTCGGTTACAGCTTCCGGTGCTCCGGCAGGCGGAGCACCGGTGTTCAGCCAGAACACCCGCTTCGCAAACGCCTGATCGTCCCCGGCGAAGATCGAGTGCACCGGCTCGCCGGCTGTCCCTCCTGCGACGAGTCTTTCGTACCCACCTTCCGCCAGCGCCACGTTGTCGCGCGGAAACCAGGGCAGCGCGGCGCAGATCCGATCGACCGGAAACCAGTCCGGGAAGGGGCGCGAAACCTCTTCCCCCTCGCTCGGGCCTCCGGGCAGACGGAGCAGGAGCCGGACGACGGCGGCGGCGTCCCCCCCTCCCGGGAGATAGGGACCGGTCGGCGCGACGAAATTTAACTTGTGCATGTCGGCGACGGCAGCTGCGTCGGCCGCTGCAGTCGAGCCCGTCCAGGACAACGCCCCCACCGCGAGAATCGGAGTGCCCACCCACGCAAACAGCTTGCCGCCCGCCGGGAAGACGCGGGGGTCCTCCAGAAACTCGGCTAGGAGACCAAGAAAAGCGGCCCCCGGGTAGAGGAAGTCCACCACGATATGGATGGGGCGTCGTTCCTCCAGCGGACTCTTTCCCTTTCGCAACGGCACGCCCCAGGCGGCGAGCAGCCGCTGCGCGATCCGGCGTCGCTCCTTTTCCTCCGGGACTCGGTCGCGGAAGGCGGAAAAGAACTTCCACAACACGCGCTGGAATCCCTCTATGCAACCAGCGACCACCTCTCCGAGAGGCGTTGCGCCGTCCGCTGCACGCAAGGGAGTTCTGTCCTGAAGGGTCCTCGCCTCCGTCGCCATTGCCATGTCTGGCGACCCCGCCGGCAGACCGAGCCCGTTCAGCGTGTCGGTATTATCGAAATTTTGCTGGGGGACCTCCGCTGCGTCGTTGTACCCATAAAAGTTACGCAGCGCGTCCTTAACGGGAGCCAGCTGATTCAGCTCCGTCCGTGCCGTCTCCACGAAAACCAGCCTCGGGCGACATTCTTCGCGGATCACCTGCGGATCTTCTGAATTAGCCGCCGAGCCGGCCCCCGCACGCAAACCGACGCCGTGCACAAGGCCGGGCGCAAAGTACGCGGCCCCCAACACGGCCAGAGCCGAGAGCATGACCCCGCGAGGCGCCTTCTCTTTCGTGGTAGCCAACATTCGATTTTTTTCCACTGGAACTGGAAAGGCAAATAGTGCTATCTTCGGTGGCTTCAACAGAGTTTTTTTGAGTTAGTATTTTCCGTAGTGCTACTTTTTTTTTTACAAATGAAAATGATTTCGCCAGAAAACCTTTAGTACTTACTTTTTGCGTTAGACTCAGATCAGATTCGCTTCAAAAATGCACCAAAATAAAGAGGAGGACATGAGGGTTTTACAACTCGAGCAGGATAAGCAGATGATGAATGGATTTCGTCAATGTGAAACTCGTTCCTGATGGAGATGAAAAATTCTGTTTGTTCTATACCGATGCTTTGGCGTACTTGCTTGATCGACGTATGACAAAGCCTTTGAATATACTCGCGCAGATCTATCGGCGATCGAATTCATTTTCGAGATGGATCCTTGCACGGGCACGGGGCCGCTGTGTGGAGAACTTCTTATCTTTTCAAGCCGACTTCTACTTCTTGCTTGGTTTATACTGGAAAGCACAAGTTTGGGGCTGAGGATCCTGGTCCTGGATTAAACCGACGCACTATGCACATCTTCGGGCGAATCGAGCTAATTAAGATCCTCATTTCATATTTCAACCTCTGAGGCGGATTAAGTGCAACAAGGATATGGAAGAACCGATCGGATCTGTTTCGGCAAAAAGTTTGACTGAATGCGCAAACCGATTTTTGGCGCAATAAAAGATCCATTGTACGATGCACAGAAGAGGAAAACACAGGAAAATTGGCAGGAGAAAGAACCGTAGTTGTGCTGATGTCCTCCACTTTTTCCATCCATATGATTATTGGTTGAATGTAATTCCATTTCCTCGAAGGACGCAGAAAGAATCAGTTAAGCACCAGTACCCTTCGAAGAAAGAGTACTTGTCCATAGAATTCTGTACTTCGGATCTTCACGACTGTCGTACCCATAGTTAAAATATAGCTGCGCAAAACCCTCGACAACATCATGCTCAACACTTTCACTCTTCCTGCTCGCATATTTGCACGCCGAGGATGAAAAAGGAATCTTCCGACATGGATTTGGTATTTGTTTCTGGGATGCAGGAGAACATAAAGAACAGGAAGCACGAAGATCTCGTGGAACAACGGCTACATGTAGTACATTTGGTATTTCTCCCAAAGCCACGGAAGTAGATGAAGGAGAAAAGAACTCCGGGCTTCGGTTCTCATCCATGGCGTCAAAGATGAAGTAGCCCCATTAAGATTTAACAAGCGACGTGTTGATTTTAGTACAACTTTCGTTCCTATCATGAACTACCTACCACCAGAAGAGAGTATCTCTAACTCTATCGTACAACTGGAAATCGTGCTGGAAATTATCCAGAGCCATCTTCGCGAGACACCTATAATGGCCTTGTACAAGCAGAAACGATGTCAGGACGTCAGGCTTTGACACAACAGCACCTTCAGCCCGCCGGCGAGAGTGTGTAGTTTTTTTTTACAGAAAAAGACCTCTATATCAACTTTATCAACAGTTGCGCCTCATTACGGAAAAAGAAACTCAGTTGCTCCAGCTAGGACAACTGTAGGTAGCATTGTTTCTGACGTAGTACTTGGGTTGTACAACGAACAATTACATTCATCTGGACTTCCGCGGGGCCACTTAAAATCCAAATATGAGCAAACGACGTCAGGAGATCCTCACCGTCACAGCTCCTCAGATAATTTTCCCTGTGGCCGGAAACAGTCTCGTCAGCGGTACTTTCGGTATCTGCGCCTCCCTTTTCGCCTTGCTCTTACTCGTATGAGGGTGCACAACCTCCCCTGCTACCCCTCGTTTGTCATTACAAAATACCTAATTTATTACGCCCTGGCTCTTGGCCCTGCTTGCGTGACAAGTTCTGGCAGCCCAAATAGCACTACACTCTACCTGTCCAAATTTGTCATGCAAAACCTGTATTCTTGCCGACCCTGACGCTTGTGTTGCTGTTCATGCAATACAAATCAATGACAATGAGGGGGAGGGGGCGGACGCGGACTTGTTGTGCACTTTCATAACTCGTCGGAGACAGCTCGAAGGTGGAAAGCGTGTTCAGGGTCTGATTGTATAATTTGCATCAGCATGATCAGCCGGGCTTTTGCTTTTGATTGTTGTATTGCAGAAAATACAAGAGAAATGCAATTTGTCATGCGCGGTGGACATCAGTAAGCATCACGAAGGAGAACCACAAAAACAAGAAACACACAGTACCATCTGTTCCGCTCTTGCCTTGTCCATGGTATTCAGGACCGGATTTTGGCACGTCTTATGCGCCTCCCCCTCCTCTGCAACGATTGCTCGATGCTTTTCCAAGACGGGCATTTGCTCGGTCAGATGGGTCCTTGCTGGGTCGTAGTCGGTGTATTCACTTTAAATATGTCTGGGTCTGGAAGATCGTAAGACTTGTTACCATGCAGATGATTTTCCATGACCGCGGCTCATGAGGTCCTCTGGCAACATGCAGGAGGACCTAGCATGACAGATTCTACTGCCATATCTCTTCTTCTATCTCTCATGCCAATTTAGCATGAAGCCACTTCCTCTTCCTCACAACTTGGCCAATAAAAGTGCGCAACTTTATCTGGCAACCACGACCATCATCATCATCATCATCATCATCAGCCTTTTGGCAATCGCGCAATACAGATTTTTGATTTTGATTTTGCACGAGACGAAGTAGATCCGGACCTAGCATGACAAGTTCATGAAGTGTTCTTCTAAATCCAGACACATCATTTGCGATGCATATGGTGCGCGTTTTCACAAAAGCGGACCGGGGCTCGCCGAGGAAGTAGCTGTTTGCGTTGTGGATTTGGTTTGTCATGCACCCCGTTGGAATAGTACGTGTGGCTTTTGTCATGCGAGCTTAGCAGGAGCAATAATGTAGACAAAAAATGAGAAAAAATACTTATCCCTCTCGTTCATGTCCTTCAGCATTTCGAAAATCCGGTCCGTGTATCCTATGCAAATTTTCTAAATCACCACGATTACCAACTCCAACATCTCCATCGAGGCTTCACTTTCGCTTTAGAAGTTTATCGATCGCGCGCTGTTGCTTAGTGTTTTTGACGGTGTGCGAGCGCGCGGCACCCCTAACAACTTATTGCACTCTTGGAGACGAGAAGGCTAATGAGTTGCAGGTTATACTTAAGACGTTGAGTATTTTTGTCTTGACAGAATACCATGTCTATCATGCTGGTGCACCACGATACCGATATTTTTAGAGTTTAACAAATCTGGGTCGTTGGCGGACGTCGCGGTGGAGCCAGTTGCGGAGGTGATTTATTACGTTTATTGTTCAAATAGGATACTGTGTGCGGCTTCGACCTGTCTGGTTTCTCCTTTTCCGCGAGCACCGTGACATTAAATGCCCCGGGGACCTGAAACCCCCGCTCTACCGCACCCCCGGATTCGCGGAAGACCTTGAGCGTCGGCCGCGGCGGCTTCAAACGATCGTCCGTCTTTTTTTCGTCGGCCATTCTTGTCAGGATGGTGTTTTTACTACTACCCCACTGCTTGTTCGTACAAGTCTCAAGTTCAAAAAAACGCGAACATCAAAGGGTCTGGCTTTGAAGATGGATTACCATTTTTGGTCATTGACCCAAACATTGCTGAATCTTCCCGACAAACAATCTAAAAATCCTAAGGATGGTAGCAGAGGTAGTTTTGCAACAAGTGCGGTTGTAGTGGTCTTCTGCGAACGTACATACAACAAGATGAACTAAAAGCAAGAGCCAGATAATTCTCAGCTGTATGTTCTTCTGAAACAGGAGGATGATGCTTCAACATCACGAGTAGGTCCCTGTTGTAACTGTATCCCCAGCTACTATCCCACATGAGTCGCGCGAGTACTTATTTTGGAGGTGCAGGATTATTTATAGTGTGCCGCGATTGATCAACACAACACAGTTGTAACCCGGAACGACGACCCTACCCCCGCCGACTATGAGACCGAAATTCAAGTAGACCGAAGTTCTTGGCGATATTTGTAGCGATGCTGCGACGACCCGAAGCGGAACACTTTTTTGGATCATTCTTTGGCAGTGGTATGTTTTTTAGCGTTATCTGTCTCAAACACGAACGTAAGAAAGTCCGCGTCTTGGCGGCGAAGTTGAGCCGCATTCGTTCTTCTTGGCGATCACTATGATCCATAGTTGCTAGAAGATGAGGAACACACTACTTAAGCGGCATCTTCAACTTGAGATGGAAGTCACTCAGTCTGCACCACGCCCTTGAGCTTGATGTTCACTACGAGGGAGGGTGTTGACAAAAGAACTTCATTTTCTTCATCTATCAGTTCTACTTTCACTTGAATTCAACATCTTCTCACTCTTTTCATCGTTTTTACTTGATGTACACGACGACGTAAAATTACCAGGCGCTAGCAGCACGAGCATAACCACCTAGACTACTTTTTTCAAGCAGCAAATGCAGGCAAGAATCATGCTAAGTACTGCCACGGATTCAAATTTAAAAACTTCATCTTTATCGGCTCCATCTATAAATACCATATTTCTCGTGCAGTTGTACTTGTAAGTAGCCCTTATTTTTCAGGCAATCTAATTTTTTTTATTTTTTAACAAAACTTGTTTTACTTTGTTTTAGTTCCATTTCCTAATCCTAGTATCACATACGCGATGAAGAGTTTTTGTCAAAGTCGCTATCCCCTACGTCAACTCCCGATCAGAATCGTGTTGAGACACTTCAACTTCAAATCAAACGTCCGCTATCCACAAAAAGGAAACCCATTCCGAAGATGTCGATCTATTTTTTGCATGACAAAGACAAAAACTGATGAATCTGATGCATTTTTTGCGTGACATGAAATTGGATGCGTGTAGTTTTTTTTTGTGGATATCCGGACCGAGTTGTCTACACAGGTTATCAGCAAAAAATGAGGCGGGCAGAACTGCACTTCGTAGGGTGTGTCCAACGAATTTCTTCCGCACCCTCGGTTCCCGTTTCCGACAATGGTGGTCAAAAAACCAGTGGACAAGTTGACACACCTTATCCTGTGGTTTCCGCTGTCCGCGATGTAAATGAACCCATTGGCATATGAGAGTGCACAACTCCCCCTCCCCCTCATTTGTAATGCAAAAATGTCAAATCCTGTCTGAGCCTTTTGGCTGTCCTTGCATGACAAGTTCTGGAAGCCCAAACTGCACTATGCTCTGTGCGTGGATTTGTTATGCAGAGACTGCATTTTTGAGGTGGTTTCTGTTGCTAGAATTGCGCTACAAATTCAAATGAGGGGGGGGAGTCGGAGTTGTGCATTGTCATACGGTACTGTCCAAAGCCAGCCCGAGCGGCTGGTTCAGCCTGCAGATGTCCAACGGACCGTCCAGAAATTATGGCGTTCTCAAATGTTACATTCTCTTCAACTGTTCCATGGATTTGTGATGCAACAATGGAAAATGTGAAAGGGGGGGTATTGCGCGTCTTGCATGACAGATTTGGCACAGATTGTCAGCCTGTTTGGCCCTTCCAGAATTTGTCATGCTGAGCAGCTTGATCGTGCAGATGATAATCGTGGCTCTGCATGACAAATTCAAATCATGTAACAGTTGAGAATATAACATTTGAGAACTCCATAGAAATCCGCATTTTCCGCATCCCGCGATCCGGTCTTTCGTCTGCCGCTCGTGGTTGATGACAAACACCTGATGCGAGGACGCATCACTGAGGAGACACCGTCTACTGTCCACGGCGATGGCGTGAAACCGCGGAAATTGTTTGTCGTTCTCCGTGTACCATTTTTTCGGCGGGCAGATTTTCAGAATGAACGGAGCCTCACTCATATGCAAGAAGAAAAACCGCGAAAGTGTAAGTCTGTCATGCAAGAAAGCATGCAACACTGTTACACTTGTCATGCCAGCCAGCCATGAACTCCTATTGTACAGGTGTTTTCCATCCCATACTAATTCTGCATGACAGGACTTCTGTGTCATGCAGAACAAATTTGTCATGCTGTCACCCGAAGAAACCTAAGTCCACTGGCGCAGTTTTTTTGTTTCGTAACTCAAGCCGACGAACAGGGACAGGCGCGGGAGGTTGAGGAGCGTGTATCAAAGTGAAAAATTTCCCCTCCACATATCAAAACGGTAATCTGTGATGCGGGATTTGTGTACACAAATCCAATCTGTCTAGCAGTAGAGGACTGCAGGCAGATGCAGGGCCTGAGCAGGGGCGTTTTTCTGTAGGCGCCTAGCAAGGCAGGCATATCCTCTGTAGGCGATACTACAGCATTACAAAGAGCCTGCCAAACGCGGCTGATTCTCTGTCTTTGCCCTCTTGCAATACATGGACGACTTGTGGTCACAAATCAGCATCACAAATTTTCAGTAGTGCCCTTTTTTGGTATGGGGAGGGGGGATTTTTCCTCACAATAGCGTGTAGAAGTCGTTCATCATTCCGTTGCTGCTCTTTCCTCCAAACAGACCACCCCCGCCCGGACAGTGGCCCGCGGGTGGATAGTACGTTGTTCCGTTACAGGCGGACAGCAAATTTGTCGTGCAGCTACCCGAGCCGTAGCCGTTCTATGAAATGCAAAAGCATGTTGATCGTACTAGTAGAAATCGCATTACATCAAAATTCCTCAGCATTACAAATGGAATTTGTAAATGCTGATTTGCCTTGAGAAAGAAATTTGTAATGCAAAAACGCAATTATTTACTACGAGTGCGATACTTTTGCACAGGATACGTTCAGTCCACACACGATCCCACTGGCGGCATACGGGTGGACGGTGGAGCTTGCCATGTATCCACTGCAAAAGTTGTATCGCGCTCGTTGTAATTGCTATCGTGCATGACAAATATCCCAATTTTTAGGTGAAATAGCATTACAAGTTGCATTTTTTCTCTTGAAAAAATTTGTGATGCAATATATGCGTAGTACGATACTTTTGCAATGCATACCATGCAGCTTGAGTTGAAAGGACCAAAACCGCTGAAGACATTGCTCCGCCCTTGCCTCGTCGTCGGCCCGTAGGTGCTGCGTGGGAGGTCTTTGTAGACAGAGGACATCGCCGCGTTGCCGTTGGCGCCACTGCTATAATAATTTCCGAGGCTGAGAAAGGAGGAGCTGCCTGGTTGCTGACCTAATCCACCACCAGGTTGTACGACGAGCAGACCCTCATTATGCATTGTTCCCATCATCATTGCTTTGTTCAAAAGCCACGCGTTGCTCGGGCGTCGCTGTGGCAACAGGAATCCCAAGCCCTGCTGGAGCGTCACGCTGGGTTTCCGGCTCGAGTTGGCCGTGTGCACCTGCAGCCCGGATTGCTGGCGAGAGAGCGGGTGTCTTGTTTTTTGATTCGGCTGGTGCTGAGAGGACGTTGCTAAACCCGCGGTTCTTACGTCGTTGCTGGTATCACCATCATATTGCGGAGTACGAGTAGGTCTTGCATTTTTGCTTTTGTCAACATCAAGATCATTGAGATGAAGATGGCCTGCGGTGGATGGTGAGTCGAAGTCGTCTTCCTCAGGATAATTTTCTTTGTCCTTGAAGAGCTTTATACCCGGGAAAAACGCTTGCAAATCTTCTTCTAGGCCTCTGTGAATCACAGAGTCTTCATCTTGATGTGGCGGCCCCGCTGCCGCGGCTTTATTTCCATGCTCAACATCAGAAGTTCTTGTGCCTCCACCCCTGGATGAGGAGGTGCCACCGCCACCACTTCCGCCCGCGCCGGCAAAGGTCGCGTTTTGACCTGGTCCTGCCCCACCTCCCATGGCGTTGATCGAATGTCGGGCGCTGCTGCTGCCGCGACGAGACGAACTCGCTTTGTCTTTGTTCGAGCTCCTCCGGTAGTGGAGAAAAGGATCCTGTTGGTGGTCAGCATAGTACCCACTTCCACCACCTCCACCACCACCAGCACCGCCGCACAAAATATCTGTCGAACTTCTTTTCATGACCAACGGCTGCGCACAGAACCGAGGGTTCCGGTCGTCGATCCGGGCGGCTTCGCTCGCGAGATCGTGCAGCGCCAGACACAGCGGCATGGAGTTCGGGCCCCAAGCGGCTTGCGGATTGATGCTCTGCGCGTGGGCAGCTGTACCACCACCAACGACACTGCCACCTAAAATGCCGAAAGAGGAACCCAAAATCGGCCCGCCGGTGAAGATGAAATTCCTGGACCGGCTGTGCTGCACCGAAATACTCGGATGGGGAGAAGGGCCGGACGTGGAACTCAAGCTGCGGGAGTCCAACTATTGAGAGGAAAAATCCCCCCTCCCCATAAATATCGAAAACGAAATCTGTGATGCAGTATTTGAGTACACAAATCGCGTTTGTCTTGCTGGAGAGGACTGCAGACCCATATCAAGCCGGAGTAGAGAGGCTTTGACTTAGGCGCTTAGCATGAAAAGCTTCCGCAATGTTGGCGCAACAGCATGACAAACCGGCTCCATAATGGGACGGAAGCTGCTGCCCTTGTCTTCTTGCAGCACAAACGTGATTTGTGACCTCAAATCAGCAACACAAATTTTCGAGGACAGCCTACCTCTTCAATAAGGGGAGGGGGGATTTTTCCTTGCGATACCAACCCGCCACGTCCACCCCCCGCGTTCCCAGCCGCATCTGGGTTCAACACCTCTGACAGCCCGAACGGGACTTTTTGCCAGGCTCTATTCCCAGTACCACCCACAATTTTCCGCTTTCCGTGGTTGCTATGAACTGCAAAAGTAATATCGCACTTCTCGTATAAATGCATTACAAATTTCCTCAGCATGATGAGAAATAAAATTTGTAATGCCCGGATTTACCTTAAGAAGAAGATCTGTAACGCATGACTGCAATACGAATACGATAGTTTTGCACAGGATAGTTGCCCGACTGGATCGATTTTGTGTACGCGACGGAATCGCCCTCGTTGTCCCCGTCGGAAACCGAAGACGCAACGGAGACACGGAATTGCGATCCGGAAAAGCCTATCCTGTGCAAAAGTATCGTACTCGTAGTAATTGCAGTCATGCATTACAAGTCCTTTTCTTAGGATAAACCTGCATTACAAATTCTATTTCTCATGCTGAGAAAATTTGTAGTGCATTTATACGAGTACGATACTTTTGGTTTTGCAATGCATACAGCCCTCCTTGACCGGTTCTCGGGCCGTGGACATTTGCAACAAAGCAGGATGTTATGACAGCGCACAACTCCCCCTCCCCCTCATTTGTATAGCATGAACAGCAATACAAGCATCAGCAAGAGTGCCGATTTTTGCATGACAAATTGTAGTGCTATTTGGGCTACCAGAACTTGTCATGCAAACAGTGCCAAGAGGCAAAGGGCGGATTGGGTATTTTGCATGACAAATGAGGGGGAGGGGGACGAGTTGTGCACTGTCATAGATGGAGACTGGCGCCGGGGACGAGTGATCGCAACGCAACTGGAACCACGGGGGCGGACGACCCGCGTTTTGTGATGTTGGAATTCGCCGCTGAGTTGTTTAGCAAAGTCGTTCCGGCGGTATTTGCGCCGCCCAAAAGTTGTGAGCTGTTGTTCGAATTTGTATCAAATGTAAAAATGTCTGGGTCTGGAAGAGTCATGCTGTTTTTGCATGACACAGAAGGTCTGGCATGGAAGCTCTAGCATCACAGGTTTCGAGAAGCTTCCGCAATGCCGAATCCGCATGACAAGTCCCCTACTTTGCTGACAGAAAGTGGGCAGCTTTTGCTACGTATGCATGAGAGACTTTTCTGTGTTCTGAAATACGCATTACAAGTTGCATTCTTCCAGACCCAGACATTTTTACATTTGATGATTTGGCATCATGAGCAAATTCGCGTTTTGGTCCCCGTGGTTGGTTATCCTGTGCAAAAGTATCGTACTCGTATTCCAATCAAGCATTACAAATCTTTTCGCTAAGTCAAATCCGCATTGCAAATTTTATTTCTCATGCTGAGAAGATTTGTAATGCATTTATACGAGTACGATACTTTTGCAGTTCATATTGGTCAAGTTGTTTGGGTTGAAACCGGGGAGGTTCGGGGCGTTGAGAATCGAAGGATCGGAAAAACTGCCACGGCGGGAACTGGAGGCATTGGACGCGGAGGAGTTGACAGGTTGAAGGAGGTTCAGGTTATTTTGAACAGTCTTTGATGAAGATGCATCGCGAGGACTATGCTGATCTCCTGCGACGTCCTGTAGTAGAGGACCATTGCAGCTGGCGCTTTTGCCCGTACTAGATGAGCCAGCTGAGCCTACTTCCGCCGACGCCGATAAATGACTCTTGCTTTTCACCGGTGACCCGGGCACCTGCACTTGCACAATCGAAACGACCGCTCCATTCGGTGGATTGTTCTTGGTATCGGTATCCACGACGACCTTGGAGGTGGACGTCGAGCTTTCATTTCCATTACCATTTATTCCTTGGTTGTTCTTGTTTGTAGTGGAGGTTGTCTTGGATGTTCTGGAGCTTACCGCGGATTCCGAACGCGAATCGTTTTCCGTCTCGCTGTCTTCTTCATCATCGTCATCATCGTCGTCCAGTGAGAAACCAACCACAGCTGCGCCGTGGGGCGCAGTTTGTGAACCTGCTCCTGCGCCGGTCGCTCCGGCATGGAAAGTAGATGCAGCTGCTGATCCTGCGGGTAGTACCGATACGACGACTTTGGGCACTGTGCATGGGGTGGGAAAGGAAGTCGAAGTACCAGCATATATTTTTCCCGTAGAAGAAGTTGACGCACCAAGAGGAACTCCTCGTCCACCACCTGCTACCATGGTGCCCGCGGCCGCCGCGGCAAAATTGAACTCCACTGCAGCCGCGGACAGCTTTCGTTTCCGTTCTTCCTGTATGAATTGCAAAAGTATCGTACTCGTATAAATGCATGACAAATTCCCTCAGCATGAGAAATGAAATTTGTAATGCGGAGTTACATTGACAAAAAAATTTGTAATGCATGACTGCGATTACTACGAGTACGATACTTTGGCACAGCATATCCTGAAAACTCTTGTGATCCGTGGCAGTGTGTCAACTACAAATATGTCTGTGTCTGGAAGATTGCCAGGTTTGTCAACATGCACATTTTGCATGACCCATGATGTCTGTGATGCATGTCCTAGCATCACAGATTTTCAGACGGCTATGCGATGCCTCTACCGCATGAGAAATGCCCTCTCCGCGTAGGACATCAAACTGGAGCCCTCATCTTGCTGGTCATGCTACACAATTTTGTTTAGAATCCAGAGACAGCATCACAAGTTTAGGATCTTCCAGACCCAGACATATTTGCAAATCATCATACAGTGCGCCAATTCGCGTCTAAGAAGGACCCGGACCGGGGTTGGTTCCTGTTGACGTTAAGTTGGTTGCTGTCAGCACTGGTCGTCTCTGCACCGCCGCTAGAGCTGCTGGCGGAGGAGGTGTTCTCGTTATTCTCGGTCTTCGTGTTCAGGTTCGGTGTGAAGGAAAGCTTCCTAGCGGAGAGAATGGGACTCTTTCCCCCCAGCAAAGTGCCCTTGCTCACACCACCACCGACGGCGGGCGATGCAGTAGATACAGCTCCAGTTGTCGGCGGCACAGGACCACCGGCAGCTCCACCGATGCTGCTTCTTGTATTGCTTGCACCAGCAGCATGATTTCCGATGCCAGAAAGCGTTTGCTTCTGCAAGTTCTGGAACGACAAGGTGCCCAGTGAGCTTCCATTCACTCCTATGCAATACAAATTTCCCATTCCCGTACATGTACAAGATGCATCACAAATTTCCCCAATTTGGAGTGTGAAACTTGTCATGCTATTAAACTAGGATCGAAGCCAAGTCTTGCCATGCAGAGACCGCATTTGCACGTGTACGGGAAATTTACTGTGGATAACTCCGGACGTGCTCAGATTTTCCCGCTGCACCGAACAGATTTTCAAAATGTTGCACATGTGAATTGTGTCGGAGTCCAGAACGTACAAATACCCAGAGTCGGAGGCTGTCAGTTTCAGCGGTATTCTGTGTAAAAACGTCCCCACCCCATAGTCAAGTTGGTAAATCAGCAACACAAATCTCCAAGTTTTGGGCGCTGCGCATGAAAAGCTTCCATCTGCAGTGTAGTGCTGGTTAGCAAGGGAAGCCGGATGAGAAATCCAGCCTCCCATCCTGCCTACAGCATTACAAAGTCCAAAACACGAGTGGAAGTGCCTTTCATGGAGACGCGCATTACAAATGTTGCTCTCATTGCGCATTTGCATGACAACTCTGGTATGAGGACATTTTTACTCAAGATAAGCGGCCCGTTTGGCTCAAAGTCCATGACCGTGTCGACCCCCGTGGTTTTCAAATTGATGCTATGCATTGCAAATATCGATCTGCTGGGTCTGGAAGAGTAGAAGTTTGTCATGCTTGTCTCTCATGACTCCTACCTCTGTGATGCATGAGCAGGATGAGAGTCTCTTGCCTCCCGTGCAAAACCCCAGTCTGCCATGCAGAACTCGCAGCCGCAGTTTGCCCTGCACATGCAGACCTCGCAAGAACACATAGCAGCTTAAGAATTTGTCATGTTTGGCTGCGTATTGCAGTGTGTCCACCATTCCCAAGCCAGCATCACAAGTTTCCAGACCCAGACATATTTTCACTGGATAGATACACCGGACCGCGTTGTTCCAATGGTCAGCGACGAAGACGGAACTTATCCAATGCAAAAGTACCGACGTAGTCGTACTCGTAGTAGTTCCACTTATGCACTACAACTCAACTCTACGCTGCTAAGGTAAATCCAAACTACAAACTTGAATATCGGATATCCTTAATGCGGAGTCACTTTGTAAGTATTGCAATTCATTAACTAGTACGATAAGGTTGCAGTTGATAGAATTCCGAATCGAGCAAATTCCCCGGATCTGGCTAAACCGCGCGTCCGAACCCTTCGCCGCGTCCTTGTAGCCGTATTCGGAAACGCATCCAGAAAAAAACACCCATCCCCATCCAATTTGTCATGCAAAACATGAATAAGCTCCTTTGTTTGTCATGCAACCAATGGATGGGGGGATGGGTGTTTTCTCCTGGATAAAATGTTCCCCGCGACGAAGGACATTTCCAAAGTGCCAGACCGTTTAATCACAAAAACCGAGTGGTCGCAAGCAATCGCCAGGTCGGGCTATGGCGTTCTCAACTGTTACATTCTCAAGAACTGTTACATGAACTTGTGATGCAAGAATTGGAAAAGTACAAGGGGGAAGGTTGCACCTGTAGCATTACGAATTCCGCACAGATTTAGGCGCGCTTTAGGCCTTGCCAAATTTGTCATGCGGAGTAGCTTGATCGTGAGGATGATGATGGTGCTTTTGCATGACAAATTCCTGTAACAGTTGAGAATGTAACAATTGAGAATCCCATACGGGCAGCTTGTCGAATTGGGAATTCGCCACTCCTATCAAATGCAAATGCGTCTGGGTCTGGAAACTTGTGCTGCTGGGTGGCGTATCGTGAGGAGGCCACAAGTGCTCGCTCAGCATGACAAGTTTCTGAGCTTCTTCTATGTGTTGCCTATTCTGCATGACAAACTGCGTTTCTACATCACAGAAAAATGGCGCTCTTGGGTAACGTGCGTGACAGATTTGAGAGTCATGGCAGACAAGCATGACAAACATGCACTCTTCCAGACCCAGACACTATTTACACTTGATAACCCCGGACAACTCTCGCAGACTGTCGATCACGTTCCCGCTCGTGTGGTCTAATAGATTGAGAGACGTTCTTCTCGTCGTTGTCATCGAATCAGAGGTATCCTGTGGAGAAGTATCGTACTAGTAAGTATGAATTGCAATACAAATTTCCTCAGCATGAGAAAGGAAATTTGTAATGCGGATTTAACTTGAGAAAGAAATTTGTAATGCATGAATGGGATTACTACGAATACGATACTTTTGCACAGGATAAGAGGTGTACGCCCGGGAGGTCCTCCGGCTCGTCCGGACAGACGACTTCCCACTCGGCGTTATCCTACGTAAAAACGTCCCCACCCCATGGTCAAGATGGGGAATCGGCTAGACAAATCCACAAGCTTTGGCTGTTTCGCATGACAAATTTGGAGTCGTAGTGTCGTGCTGTTTGAGCTAGCTCAGCAGCATTACAGATTTAGTATATCATGCTGATTGGAGCATGACAAATTCCAAAACGTGGCTAGAGAATGCTTCGCATGGGGCTCCGCATGAGAAACATTTCCAGCATGCAGATTTGCATTACGACTATCCTATGGGTTGGGAACGTTTTTAAATACGATAGGCGTAATGCCGTACTCATCCGCTAAGCTGAACCTCGCGGACCGCCGCCTGTTGTACGAAATGTAAATATGTCTGGGTCTGGAACCCTGTCATGCTGAGTTGCGCATGATTGCAACGCTTTCAATGGCAGCGAAGCATGACAAGCTTCCGAAGCAAGCGCCACTAATGCCTAACACGCATTACAAACTGCGTTTTTGCATGACAAGGGAAGCAGGAGCCCATTTGCTGCTCATGCAACACAGATTTTCCAGGTATTGGTATGCATGACACGCATTACAAGTTCCTCCTTTCCAGATCCAGACATATTTGCATTTGATATGTTGTACAAGTCCGACATCATTCTCCGCCTGCTGCTAGCCGCTTCCATAATCGACCCGGATAACCCGCCAGCCCCCCCAGCGTTCGCGAATTGCTCGGACGCGTCTTCCAGTTCCACTTCGGCGGAGTCCTCCTCCTGGATCTGCTCCAGCCTCGGTTTGTTCGCGTTATCGTTCTCGTCGTCAGAATTCTTGTATGAAGATGCACAACTCGGACTTCCCCGCCTCCCCATCATTTTTTTAGCATGTACAGCAATACGAATACAAACACCAGCACGCGTAAAGCCTACGCATGACAAATTTGGTGCGCCCAGTGTAGTACTGTTTCGGCTTGTTCCGGAATTTGTTACGCAAACTGTAGTGATATGACTATGAGGCAGCGAGAGCGACTGCATATATTGGGATTTTGCATGACAAATGAGCGGTAGCAGTAGGGGGAGCGGTTGTACCTTCTCGTATGTTGCCACCATCGGAGTTGTTTCCATTCAGCCGGTTATTTTCCTCATCTCCAGAACTGTTGTTGTCGGAGGACTCATTGTCTTCGTAGTCGAAGTCACCGTACACTATGCAAATGTCCACTGGGTTGGACAAGCCAATAAAATCCACCGACTGCACCGTCAAGGTTTGCACCAGGCCGGAGATCAAATCGATCGCGCGGATGCTGTCGTTCCTCGTGTCCGCGACGTAAAGCTGCTCGGTTCTGCGGCAGATGCACAGCCCAGAGGGGCCGTTGAACTGGGCCAGGGCTCTCGGGCCGTCCCGGAAACCCGGGTTTTTCAGTTTACCCGCGAAAAGCTCGAGGTTCTGGCTTGCGGATGAGGAAGTAGTAGAATTCTGGTGGGCAAAAGGGTGCTGCTGGTGATGTCCGCCTCCTCGAGAAGGTGACGACGAACTATTGGCCGCCGCGTTCGACGTGCTGTTGCCCCCGCCGAAAGAACCGCCCCCGCCCCCGCTCGTCGGGCTGTATTGCTGGTGCGGGTTGTACACAATGCTGTGCAAAAGTATCGCACTCGTAGTAATCGCTGTCATGCATTACAAATTTCCTTCTTTACCTAAATCCACATTACAGATTCCATTT